TTCTGTACCAGATTTAAATTCTGTTTACAAGAAAAAGGTTCTCAACAAAAACTTTTGTTTGAATGAACCTCATTATGCTAAAGAAAGTTCAGGTGTTAAGGATATGACATTAGGGAAGAAGACATGCCAAGCAAGAGAGGTTTTCTTTGGCTGGATGATAAATGTGGTGTTCAAGAATTCACGCAATCGTTTGCTTCTCCAGATCCTGTTCAAAACAGGATCTGGATGATAGAGATAAAATTATGGGATATATTTCTCAACTCCATTATGCTAAATTTTTAGAACAGGCATTTACTTTATATTTAGATATCATTAACATAATTGTTGATTTCACCACTGCTAACACAACTGCAATTGAATTAGATTTCTTTTTGGCTTATTAACTTTTTTTCTTGTCTCTAAGCTCATGCTTTTATTAAATGCGTTGTAAAAATGGCTGAAATTCCATATCAGTTTACACTTAGCTAATTACATGACTAAATTGTGATTATGCAACAATCAAGAGTATGAAAGAATTAGGTAATTGTTTTGAGTTCATTATCACTACAATTTTGACACTACTGTATTGCCATGATCTTAAATATCCCAACATATATTGGGCATCAACTCCATGGGGGAAGGAAAAGCCATTCTGAGGATGATTGGGAAGAGGGAAGCTGTCCTTGGGGGGGGGGGGGGGGGGGGGGGGGGGGGACAAGATATATTGTGTCTATTTTCTGCTTATGTAGGTGATAAAATGAATAATGTCCTGTAGTGTTTACTACTACTGGAAATAAAAGAAGTAAGGAGCAAGAGGAAATCATTTACACTCTCTGCTGAGATTTGAAAAAAAAAGGGTTTACACCAAAGCAGCATCAAGCTAGGAAATATTTTTATTCTTGAGTCAATTGAACCAGCCGACATCTATTATTCTGAATGTCATCTCTATCCAACTCATCAGTATAACCCAAGAAAAGCCTTCAACAACTTCCCTGTGTTTGACTCCCAATTCATACAATAAACTGCTTTATTTCCAATCTTTCTGTTTATTTCCAGTTATCTATGTTTGCCCCATCTTAGGCATATACCATATCATTATATCTGTTCCAGTGAAATATGTATGCCATATCTTGTACACATGGCTTGGGTTGTATCTGAGTCATATCTCATCCTATTAAATCTGTTTGCACTCTTAGGCACACAAGGTTCTGTTTATTTACTTAGAAGAAACTCCCTTTCAACAAAGAATTATTCTTTTGCAAGAAACCCAGGCTTTCCCCTGCCATCAGCCAGTAAGTGGGAAAAGGGGAAAAGACTGCAACTTCAGGAAAACAATCTCTACCAGCATTGTTTAGGTGAGGGTAAGAGCCTGGAAAAGTTGCCTTTAGTGTTATACTATCAAAATCCCATTAGTGACATTGACCTCATGTTCCATCTTCCAGGAGCTTGGTTTGCATTGCCCCTTAGTTGCATGAAATAGCATCCTTTTGCATTTCCCCCAGGGTTACTACAGTCTCAGCAGCACCCTAAAAGTTAACCATTAACAGGGGCTTAAAGCCAGCCTGCACCGCTCATTCAACACAAACGTTGTTGACTTCATTTGGTTGGGATGTTTTAAGCCACCCCTCTCACTGTCCCCATCTCGCACCCAGTGACTACCATCTGTTCACTAATTTGAAGGAACACCTTAGTGGAAAACACTTTTATGACGAAGACGAGGTGAAAACTGAAGTGATGAACTGGCTGAAAAAGGCAGTGGGAAACTTCTATGACACAGGCATCAAAAACTCATCCCACGGATGACAAAATGTATTGAACTAAATGGTGATTATGTAGAAAAATAATGAAATACCTATACTACAATCCATGTAAATTTTATTAAAATATATTCATTCTTTGTATTTTTTTAAACATCTTGTAACCTTCCTTTCCAGATAATCCTTGTACTATAATTGTGGTAGTATGAAAGCAACCATACTTTGGAAAATAACCATAACATGGAACATGTTACTCAGCATTTTTAACATCCTATTTTATTTGATGTTGGCTTTATGTAACCTTAAACAGTTTTGATCCTGTTCTCAGTTTTATAACCATGGTGTTTAATCCTTTACTGCTGGCCTTCTATAGTTTATGGACACGCACTTCCATTGTTCTGTACTGGTATTTTGCAATGTTTGGTGAAAACCTGGTGTACTGGTTTGGTGTACTGCTTGTACTGTTTGGATATAGACTTCTAAAGCCTATATGATAGATGTTTGATTAGAAAGCACTTTCTGAATAAATAAATGCAGTGTTGTTGTTGTATGCCTTTCAATGGTTTCCTACATATACCTTAAGGCATACTTATCACAGTATCATACTTATCACCTTAAGGCATACTTATCACATTAACAGATACATAAACAGATGTGGTGTTTATTGTGCAAGAACTACAATAAAAATGAGTTGCTGTGAATATTCCGGGCTGTATGACCATGCTCCAGAAGCATTCTCTCCTCACATTTCACCATACAGCTCGGTAAATTCACAGCAACCCAGTGATTCTGGCCATGAAAGCCTTCGACAACACATACAATAAAAATACATTGTCTACATCATCATAGTGGAGTTGAAAGCAGTCCCATATGTACTGCAGAAATGTCAATTACTGATTTTAAAACTTTGTATGAGTCATTTATTTATTTTTTTCATCTTAGAGGATTTTCTTTCCTCATAAGTTTTCATTATGCATTTCAAAAAAAAACAAACAAACAATTTTTTCACATAAAGAAAAGAGGAGAACAAAGAAAGGGATAATGGATGTGGAGCTCTGATTAGTAGATTCGGACTATATAAATGTTTACTATATTACCGAGGGAAAGGAAGGGGATTGAGGGGGAAGAGAAACCTTATATTTGTTATAATTATTATATCTATATCTACAAATTAAATTGAACAAAACTTTGTTTGTTTCTGAAGATCAGTTGGTTTGTGACCAAACATTATAGTAAATGCCGCCTCTCTACTATAGAATGAATGCAGTCTGGCACTGCTTTAACAGCAGTCATCAATGCTAAGGGTGCACCACTTTAACCGGCATAAGTATGAACATTGTCCATACACGTCACTTGCAAGAGTGAAAAAGGCTTATCCGCATGTGCTACTTCTGTTTCCCTTTAATGACTCAAATGCTACATAGAAAAATACATGAAGATATTGTTCTCTCTAGATAGGAAGAGTTCAATTTCTAATTGTGTTGACTCTTGGACACCAACGAACAGTTTTCTCTTGTCCCCACAGCAGACACCATTGTATTCATTAACTGCAATTTCCCAGAAGACATCACAGCCCTGTTTCAATATTGTCTAACTACAACCTACTTCCCAGTGGGATAATGAATTCTGTGAACATAAAGATGGAATAGCCATGAGGAGCCCTCTTAGCCCTGTTATAGCATTTTTTTTACATGGCACACTTTGAAAAACAAGTCCTGGAAACAGCATCTACTCAATAGGTACAAACTAGGCATAGAGTGGGGTGCTATTTGTATGCCGATGACACCCAAATATATTTCTCCATGCCTTCAAAATCAGCCTCAGTTCAGGATACTGTATCTCTTCTGAATTTATGCCTGGGGGGTGTAATGGGCTGGATGACAAAAAACAAACTAAAACTAAATCCAAACAAAACAGAGGTGCTTGCCATCAAGGGTCTTAATCTGGAGATGAAGTTTGTCAACCCTAAAATGGATCACTAAAACATGCCCGGTAAAAAGATCACCCATTTATGCATTAAATTTTGCTTAAATAACAGTCTTTCCCAGCTGGAAAAACAAAAATTGAGAGTGGGTTAGCCTAGCCTCCTGTGGTTGGGAGTTGTAGCCACAAAGTTTGGATCTACATTGCCATGTAATGCTATTTGGAATTGCATTGTATGGTCAATGTAGATCCACATAATACAGTTTAATTCAAAGCATGGAAAAACATTATAGGAACAGCCTGATAAAATATTCTATGTTTATAACTAAGTACAAAATAGATACAATGACAAAAAAAATCAACTGTAGGAATTGAATATAAATTAAAACCACACAGCCATATTACCAGAAGCAAGATTTTGATATCCCTTCTGCTCCTGGATCTAAAGAAAGGCAGGATGAGGTCTTCCCCATAATTATCTTAGTACTCTGGCATGTTCACAGCGGGAGATACTGTCTTGATCAGCCTTCTCTGGACACCTGATAGCTTGCTGAATCCTGGAATTTGCAGTTTATGGAGAGATATTTGGTTATCCGAGTGCTTCAACTGACCTGGATTTCCAACATTTAAGGATTCAAGAGAAAGCATTCAAGATAAGCAAAATCGAAGTGTTATAATGATGCAGTATGAAAGCAACCCTATTTGCGGAAACAATACCATCCAGGCATGAATTTCCAGGGATGGTACCAGCAGTTTTGGAATTTTGGAATCTTCAAAATAGGAATTTTTCAAATTGCTTAAATTGTAAGTAGAAGAAGAATCCTGTGAAGGCACAGAAATCTGAGGTCTTAAATAGTAATTTCCTATTTTTCTAAGTATGAAACAAGGTGGCCCAAAAAACCTTGCATCTGCTAAAATGGATTGACCTGTGGGATTCCCCAAAATTACCTTGGGAATCTGCATGTGGCCTGTAACCAGCATTTAGCTCCTATTATAATGGAAATAACATTTTCTAATGACATTTCCTGGAAAGGAAAATGCAGAAACTAGATGGTATACTTGTGTGATCAACATGTAGCAATGTGGATCATGCTTGTTTTTTCCCTTATGCATAGTACATATTTTCCTTATATGTTTTTTCTCAACAGAACACAAAGGAAAATGTTTATTTTCTTCCATCAAGTTGGAAGTACATAAAAAACAATACTCCAGCCATTGGATTTTGGATATGTACGTTCATGCATGTCTTCCAATAAATTATATTTCCTGATATATTCCCAACTGGATCAGTCTCTCAACTTCCAAGCCTATAGTAGGGATAAAGAACAAAAATACTACAAATTATTGTTGTTGTTATTATTTATTTGTAAGCCATCTTTCTCCCCTTGGGGACTCAAGGCAGCTAACAATCCCACACTTTGGTCATAGTTTAAAAAGCGCAATACAAAAATTAAAAATTAAATAATACAGTGTGGATTAAGGTAAAAAATCACATCACTTCTGGCTGTAGGAAGTGGCTGAGGCTGATGGGTGTTAGAATCCAGTAACATCTGGAGTATCACACCTTAAAAATAAGGACAGGTCTGAGGCCTCGAAGGTAAAATGCTTAGAAAATTGGGTGCCTAAAGCTACAAACGACCTTCCTTTCCAGACAATTTAGAGCAAGTGGTAGACAATAATGGGAAGACAATGCAACTTTCTTCACCCCAGAAAAAAAACTCTTCTTTTTCAATTTGTCTGTAGCTAGTTATACAAATGAAGCAAAAAAAAAAAAATCTCCCTACAAGAGGTTCTATCCTTAGGTTCTATCACATCAAGTTGTCTTTGCCGGTAACATCTTGTAAGGGTTTAGGATTCCTTTGGGATCCAACATGGTCTTGAACTGCTGCATAAGAAGGACAGCCTCCTGAGGTTTACTGTAATGGATATAATGCTTCTTCTTGAAGCCCAGGCCATGTTCTGCACTGATGCTTCCTTGGTACTTGGAAGTCCATTCATACACATAGGGTTCAATCGCATCCAGGAGAGAATGACTGTAGGACTCTGCTGTGATGTTCAGGTGCAAGTTTCCATCTCCTGTCAAAGCAAATCAGAGGTAGGAGTTGATTTGAAAAAAAAGAAAAAAATGTTATTTATATCCTGCCACCATCTCCCAAAAGGGACTCGGGGTGTCTTACAAGGCACTACAATTGTAGTATATAACATGAACAGTACATGTGTATAAAAACAGTATCACATAAAAGTTATAAAAACAACCACTATTAACACATAAAATAAAATAAAAACACAGTTTAAAACACAGACGATCGGTAGTTAAAACTAGCTGCTTTCAATTCACAATGAAAGTGCTAAAGTGTCAACCTCATTTGGGCCCATTTAAGCCTACTCGAGGCCAAAAGCCTGCTTTAAAATCCATGTTTTTAGGCTGGATCAGAAGGAGTCAAGTGGGGGGCTAACCTAATCTCTTTTGCGAGGGTCTTCCAGAGCCAGGGAGCCACTAGAGAGAAGACACTCTTTCTCGTTCCCACCAACCGCACTTGAGACAGTAATGGGACCAAGAGAAGAGCCTCCCTTGCCGATCTCAAAGCCTGCACCAGTTCATAGAAAAACATGCTATTTTGAAGATAGGTTGGACCTGAAGTGGATACAGCTTTGTAAGTAATAGCCTGCACCTTGAAATGAGCCCTCCACTTGAATTGAACAGACAATACATTCAGATTATGGCACACAATCCTGTATTCTTGAAAAAAATAATATTATCATACATATTTCTCTAAGTCAGAGCTTTCAAATCATTTCATGTTTTTTAACATGGCTCATTTTCCAACACCATAATTCAGTTTTACTGGCAAACTGAAGGTTAAACTGCCCCTTCTAAGAGATACGGACACATACATAAATTGCAAAAATTAAATGTATGGGGACACAATATATCGCATGAAAAACTTTTATTTATATTTTTTTAAATATATGATTTGTAAGATAATACTATACATTTCCAAGATTTTTATCATTTCTTATTACGTTTGCATGACATAGCCACACACTGTAGATGACACACTAATGTGTTGCGACATACAGTTTGGAAAGCTCTACTCTAAGGGATGCTTATTATTAAAATGCTAAAAGAGTGATAGATAAAAAATATTACAAGTAAAAACAAAAGACAGAACAAATCACAAGAGTAATATTACCTATTTCAACACAACAAATGCTGTTCACACCATATGGTTTATAGTCAGGGGAAATAGAAATGTCTGGCTACAAAAAAAAAAAGACACGGTAGTTCACCACAAGCACCTGAGAAAGTCATTTAAAAAACAGGCTTTCTTGACCAAAAACATTCTTTAAAAAAGTGCACCTAACTGTAGAATTTATGGAGTTTGACTCCACTTTAACAGCTATGGCTCAATGCTATGGAATCATAGGAGTTGTAGTTTTACAAGGTCTTTAGCATTCTCTGCCAAAGTGTGCTGGTATCTCACCAAACCACAGCTCTCATGATTCCATACCACTGAACCATGGCAGTAAATGTGTTGTCAAACTGTATTAATTAATTCTACAATATAGATGCACCTAACATCGCCTTCTTTCAGATGTATACACTTTTACAGTTTTATAATATTGTGTTTTCTTGTTATTGTTATTGTCTGAATCTGGCATTGAATTATTGCCATAGTTTGTAAGCCGCCCTGAGTCCCCCTTCGGGGGTGAGAAGGGCGGGGTATAAGTACAGAAAATAAATAAATAAATACATCTGCTCCAACTCACCTAGATGGCCATAGCCCACCACATTCTTGGCACTTCTGCCCAGACGTTCCCTCATGTCGGTCACAAGATCATAGAGTTTCTCCACAGGGAGGGAAATGTCATATTTGTAAACAGATCCATCGAATGTCAGGGCCTCTGTGATCCGCTCCCGTAAAGCCCACAGTGCCTGCAAGTGAGCAAAAGCAGTGAAACATGGATGGCCACATAAAGTGCAATGTTACCTGAATCTACTAAATATGCCTTCTTTGCTACCTGTGCAAATATATCAATTACAGTTTCCAATAGTTCACACTGGGAGACCTGGGTTTAATTCTCACAACTTGTTGAAAACTATCCTGAGTCACCATGGGGAGATAGGGCGGGATATAAATAAAGTTGTTATTATTATTATTATTATTATTATTATTATTATTATTATTAGTTGAGATAAGGACACTTCTTGTTTTCTGATGGTTCAATGCACATGAACTTCATTTAATGCACAACATTATTTAAAATGCTGTATAAAATTACCCTTAAGCTATTTATGTAAGGGATATATGAAACATAAATGAATTTGATGTTGAGACTCGAGTCCCATTACCAATATATATGTTCGTATGTAAAAATACAAGTATTCCAAAATCCTCAAAATAAAAGAATCCTTCTGGATTTTTGGTTCTGGTTCCAAGGCTTTTTAACAAGGGATACTCAACCTGTACCATCTTGTGTCTGTTATACCAGATAACGACCCTTTTTACATTGCCATATGAAATCCAGATTATCTGCTTTGAACTGGATTAACTTAGTTTATACTGCCATATAATCCAGTTCAAAGCGGATAATCTGGATTTTATATGGCAGTGTAGAAGGGGCCAAAGAAAGCAGTCAGTATGTCAATATCCTTTTTTATGTTAAGATATTTTATTTCTGCTAGAGCTTATGAATGCTACTTTTTTTGAACTACAAATCTTAGAATCATTCATAATAATAATAATAATCATCATCATCATCTTTATTTCTATCCTGCTTTCTCCCCATGGAGACTCATAGCAGCTTACATGACACAACCCAATGAATTTAAAAACATGGTAAATACAAAAATTAAAAACAATAATTAAATAACAATAAACAGTAAAATACCGTACAATTAAAATTACATTTAAAACTAAATGTCCAGCAAAAGTAAATATTCAGCAAGCAATAAAATAAAAATGAAGATGATGATGTTGTTGAAGGCTTTCATGACCGCAATCACTGGATTGCTGTGGGTTTTCCGAGCTGTATGGCCATATTTCAGAAGCATTTCTTATGATGTTTTGCCCACATCTATGGCAGGCATCCTCAGAGATTGTGTGGTCTGTTGGAAACTAGGCAAGTGAGGTTTATATATCTATGGAATGTCCAGAGTGGGAGAAAGAACTCTTTTGTCTGTTTGAGGCAAGTGTGATTCCCCCAGGCAGGAAGCAGCCATGCTTTGAAGCTGCATTGCCATTTAATGCTAATCAAGGTGGCCAATTGCAACATTCACACTTGCCTCAAGCAGACAAGAGTTCTTTCTTCCACATAAACCTCACTTGACTAGTGTCTAACAGACCTCAGAACCTCTGAGGATGCCTGCCATAGATGTGGGCAAAACGTCAGGAGAGGATGCTTCTGGAACATGGCCATACAGCCTGGAAAACTTACAGTAACCCAAAGATGATGGTGTTTCAATGTTTGGTTTCATCCTGGCTACCTCCAAACTTGCAACAAATGCACTAGCTATTCAGAAAAACAGACTGCATTATAACTTCATGTATGTAGTTCTGTCAATTCAAGCTGCATAACATTCAAAATAAGTTATACATTCAGCAAAGCAATGCAAAATTTTCAGTGCATGTTGTTATACTCAGATCCAAAGGCCTGACCATTTATTTATGCCTTATACACATTCTAAATTACTCTCTTGGGCTATTTCTTTTAAAAGGCTTAATCCCAAAACAGTAAACGGTTCTATAAATTCCTATAAATTTTGAACACAATGGTGATTAAATGAAAAAAGTTTTCCAAAGAGTACATTATATAAATACATATCTTTCCACCTTCTTATGTTGCATTTGCACATCACAGTGCTTTTTTCAATGTGGAAAAGTCCAAATGGCATTTCAGTTTGGACATTAAGAGAAAGCATTCCCCTGATACTCCTTATTCTGAACTTTCTAACTTTCTAATTAATTTGAAATAGTCTCATAATATGAGAGGAAACTGTGATTTAAATGAGAAAGAGAGAGAGAACTAATGTTGAACGTTGTTGTTTATTCATTCAGTCGTTTCCGACTCTTTGTGACCTCATGGACCAGCCCATACTGAAGGTGAAATACCACTGGAAAAATTCCACTGTGAAATACCACTGGAAAAATTCTAATACATAGTAACTGAGTTGCAATGTCTGTAATTTGAGATATCTGGCAATTTGGGGATGACTTCTCTACACCTCATAAGCAAACAGGTGCACATCCAATCAGCACCTAATACTGAATTACATGTAAGCCCTAAGCCACACTTATTGGAGAGAAGAGGAATGCACCTTTATCTTTGTTTCATCAGAAGCCAGCGTTCCCTCTATGACCAAATCGGAGGCCATTACGTGTTCCAGGAAGTGGCTCAGTTTTTCTTCATCATGGGCTGAATTGGAGCCTGAAGTCTCAATTAGCACATAGAAAGGGCTTTCTGGAATTGGAATGAGAAAACAGGCAATAACAATCAACACATATATACAGGAGACCTTAGGGTGCAGCTACACTGTAGGATGAATGCAGTGTGGCACCACTTTAACTGCCAAGGCTCAATGGTATGAAATCATGGGAGTTGTAGTTTTACAAGGTCTTTAGCCTTCTCTGCCAAAGAGTGCCGATGCCTCACCAAATGACAAATCCAAGGATTCCACAGATTAGCCTGTGCAGTTAAAATGGTATCAAACTACATTAATTCTACAGTGAGGCACATCCTGAGTTGTTCCACATTTTGCTTTTTCAAAAACACATTGTCAATGGATCTTGCCAACATGCCCAAAGGAGTGGCACAAGAGCACTTTTGTGAGTCACACTAGCATCCATATTATTTCGTTAAGAAAAAAACGAACTTGGAAATTCCCAGAGAAGAAAGAACTTTTTTTATTGAAACAAAAATAACAAACCACAATATTATTTCATTTGTTGGCAAATACAATTTCACTGTACAGCAGGGATTCAAATTCCGGTTACACAAAGTAACCCAATAGTCAAACCACAGTTTCAGAAATTATTTCAATATAGATGAATGTACAGTTTATTCAGAAACAGAGTTTCTTATGTCATCATATCGTATTTAGTAAATATTCCTCTCTTTTGTTGCTTTGTTGGTCAGTACTTTACAATGAAGGCTTCAAATCCTGTTTTGACGTTCTGCAAAAATCTGGCAGCCAATGTGAAATTTGTCCCGCTTTTGAAAAATCACCACAAACTCAGACACAAAACTGTTTGCTTTGGCACTGCTTCCTCAAAAAGTAATCAGAACACACAATATCTGTATTCACAGAATATTATTAACCTCAACTTCCTGGACATCGATCTTTTATACTGACTCAGTGGTCAATGATGGATTCAGAAAAGGATGTTTGAGCACCTGTCCAGGGTCCAACTGAGAGAAAGAGTCTCAAAAGCCAGAGATAAATTTCTAATGCAAAGGTTAAAGCATGAACATTAATCCAAGGTGCATGGATCAAACATGAGCTTGATTAATCCAAGAGACAAGGAACAAAACATGATCTTGAGTCCATGGTAAAATCCCCAAGACTGGTAGCAAAACTTGACTAGGAAATTTGGCTTGAAGCTAAGATAGGACCATGAACAAGGCAGGAGCTTCTTGCTCTATTTGTTATGTTGCTTGATCTGAGACCTGAGAGCTATTCTTTCCCTAATTAAGGACAACAATGCATGAAAGCATTCCATTGGTCTCTCTCGGCCTCTGCCTCCCTTTCCCATGGTGCTCGGCTTGCACCTGGAATTCCTTCCCCGCAGGAGCAACCTGGATTCTCTGTCCAACCCCACTTCCTCGGGTGAGCTCTTGTCCTCCTCCCTTCTCTGTCTGTCAGCTTCTAAAACAGTTTCGTTTTCACACAGAGAATCAGCCAACTCCCCTCCATTCTCCCAACCGGGAAATCACCATCCTGTTCCAACATCCCATCTGTCTAAACACCCCCAGAAGCATCAGGCCCTGCAGACACTGCACCCCCAAACCCCTCATCATCATCCTCAGCTGGCTGAACTACAACATCTAATTAATTTTAATTTTTCCCTGTACTCTAGGTATGAATATCTTTGTTTTTGATCCATTACATCCAGAATCTAAAATGAACTACCTGCATCGCTGTTACTTTACATTGATGCTCATTTAAATTGAAATCTACTCATTCTTACCCAGGTCCTTCAGATGTTAGATATTAATTTTGAAACTATAAGTGAAGAGAAGATAAATCCTCACAACCTCTGAGAAAAGATAGATAGATAGACCTCACTTGTCTAGTTTCCAACAGACCTCACAACCTATGAAGATGCCTGCCAAATATGTGGGTGAAACATCAGGAGATAATGCTTCTCGGATATGGCGATACAGCTCAGAAAAGTCACAGCAACCCAGAAGATAAATTACTAAGATACTGTGTAAAACTGAAGACTTTGGAATGCTGGTTAAACGATACAGAATGTTCAATAGGAAGTTCTAAAACGAATCAATGACTTGTTATACAGTAACATTAGATAAATATTTGTGCACAGATCCTGCACATCTTTAAAACCACCAAAATTGTTCTGTTGCCCTACGTAAGTCAATGATGGACAGCTGGGTAGCAGCGAACTAAGAAAGTAAGTAAAGAATCCGTGAATGTTAACCGAACAATTAGAGTGATAGTGGGAAGTCAAAGAAAAGAATCCCATCTGTTGGTCTTATTCATGCAACTGATACCTGCCACTGGACTGGCCAGCTTCAAGTGTCTTTCCACCAGCTTCATGCATTCACTGTCCATGAACTCATAGGCAGACAGGATCTCACCCAGCATCCCTTTACAAGTTGTGAAGGTCTGCAGGACTTGGGAGAAACTGTGACAACCTTCATGAAGAAAGCAAACAACAAAGAAATCAATTAAATGGGAAAAAAATATAGAATAGGAAGTGTGGAAGTGAGAGAAATCTACCTCTAGGAAGAGACATTCACTCCTGGAAGAGTTATCAAGGGGGAAAGGGGTCTCAATTGAAGTTTTACCATCAATCCTTGTTCCCACAACAAGCCAAATTTTTCAGTATCCAATTATCACAGGAACAGAAAGTGAGTTGAAATATTTTGGGCAGGGGCCCAGATAGCAAAACAAACAAATGTTTACCCTTCCTTATGCTATCCACAGCTTTCATCTCCCCCCCCCCCTCTCTATCTATCTATTTATCTACTATATTTATATCCTGCCTTTCTTGACCTCATGTGGGACTCAAGGCAACTTACAACATAGGCAATAATTCAATGCCTTAAAAATAATACACAATTAAAATAAACATATCAATTAAAAATTAAAATCAAAGTTTAAAATGTTAAAACATTTTAAAACATTACAATTACTATTATAACCCACACTATCTGCAATCTTAATCCAGGCCATTCCGATAGTCATAATTCCAAATCGATCTATTGCACTGTATTATTCTCCAAAGGCTTGATCCCAAAGTCATGTTTTCACTCTCTTTCTGAAGGTCAGGAGGGAAAGGGCTGATCTAATATTGCTGGGGAGGGAGTTCCACAGCTAAGGGGCCACCACTCAGAAGGCCCTGCCTTCGTTCCCACCAATCGCGCCTGCGAAAGAGGCAGGATTGAGACCAGGGTCTCTTCGGACGATCTTAATTTACGCTCACGCACACACATAGATGACTAGATTTGCACTTAAAAGAAATACCTGTTCCAACTTACATACTAATTCAACTTAAGAACAAACCTACAGAACCTACCTTGTTCGTAACTTGGGCAGTGCCTTAATTAAAACATGCTATCAACTCCATTGGCCTTTCATTTTCTTTTGGACTGCTATTACGTTACTTTATTCCTTTTTTTAAATGTTGAGTGGTGCTTGCAACATGAATGAATACACACAAAAACATTTATGTAAGTGATCAATACAATCTCAAAAATGGCACCTAAAGAGGCCAGCTGTGTGCATTGTACTGCATCATACTGTTTGAAAGGTGGGAGGACTTGAATTTATTCATAGTTCAAGCAAGCTGTTGTTGTTGGGGTTGTTTTTAGATTTATTTATTTATTCAAATAGGCATACATTTGTAAGTGTTTGTTGCATACAGTGCAATACTTTCCAGCTATTAGTGTTCCATAATCATTTCTCAGATAATATATTTTCTTTAAGGAGTCACAGTTTTCTATTTAAATAGTACATATAAAGGTATCATAGACTCTAACTTAATATCCGCTTCCTCCTAATCTACAGTCTTATAGGATCCTCTATATACATTTTTAATTTAATTTTACATTGAGATGTTGAATCATTGGTTGCCATTCATTAACAAAGTTCTCTAATAGTTGTCCTCTTACTAGTACAGTTATTTTATTTTATTGTGGTTGTTTGTTAAATGATTGTGACCCAAGAGGTAGTGTTCATTTTGCCAGTTTTACAAATTTGATGCAGTCAAACACATTCTATATCTATATCAGATTTGGATATCAATGTTCAGCAGAATTGTTGATTGGTCTTTCATTTAACACAATTTCATGTCCTCCTACTGTCACTAAGGAGACCATCAGATATTATTGCTCTATGATAATCAAAAAGATATTCAAAAACTTTCTTGGAAATATGATCATATGTGAAACCATTTTCAAAGCACCATGAGCAGGATATGCTTGGTGTGGTCCAATTTCCCTATGCATCCTCAAGCAGGAACAAAGTTCATTGTTCTACTTTAATGTAGACATTCTTGAAGTCACACTGAGAGCATAGACCTGTGTGTCAAGCTTGTGGCCCTCCAGGTGTTTTGGACTTCAGCTCTCAGAATTCCTGGCTATTGGACAAGCTGGGAATTTGACAAGATGACTTCTAGGAATTGGAGGCCCAAACATCTGGAAGGCTATAAATTTGAGATTTCCGGCCTAGACTAAAGTGCAGCTCGAAGCTTCAATAAATATTAATCATTAACATGATTGAGTACAATAACCACAGTTTTAAAGAATGAATTCGGTAAATAAAATTGTATGCTGGGCACCTGATGGTGCTCCTAAATGGAGCACCTCCATGGCCTCCACAGCCTCACTGTGAGAGTACTTCAACAGCCTGGCTGGCTGGCAATAGCAACACCTATTGAATGACTCCTTGTGTCTTTATTGTATAAGATCAAGATCAGAATGAAGTCCAAAAAGATAGCGCACAAATCAGAAACAATTATAACTTGTAAGCCGCTCTGAGTCCCCTTCGGGGTGAGAAAGACGGTATATAAATGTAGTAAATAAATAAATATTATTTACAGTTCCTTTGTATGCGAAAATGTTAATGTAGGTTCCCGAATGGTTGCATACATACGCTCCTCAAGCTGTTGAGAAAAACAATTTTCTGTGAACTTTTTTCTATGCTCTGTTTTTGACAATTTTTTTCATAGGACCAGCTACCGCATAAAAATTAAATACAATCCAGATGGATGAATTCGAAGGCAAAAACAGTTTTACCTCAACGGCAACTGCATTCAGGTCTAATCTTGAGGTATATCACTTATTGCACCTAGAAACGAGAGCGGTTCTCACCAAGAAATGCAAGATTCACAGCCTTGGGTTTCCGTGGGCAGAGGATGGACACCGCAGTAATGATCCCCAGCGTCCCCTCTGACCCAATGAAAAGCTGCTTCAAGTCATACCCAGTGTTGTCCTTCCGCAAAGATGTCAAACAATTCAGAAGGGAACCATTCGCCAACACCTGGAATGATGCAATGCAGACATCTTCAATGTATTTATGTTGAAGTTTAAAATAATATTACATCTTTAATGGTGGCAAAATTGTAAAGAGGATTAAAAGAATGGGAAGCCATTTTCGAAGTTTCCTCTCACCACTTCTAATCCTAGAACTGTCCCCCGGAGAGAGCCGTATCTCAGGAGTCGCAAGCCACCGGCGTTTGTAGCTACATTTCCTCCAATGTGGCAACTGCCCTTTGCTCCTAGGTCAAGGGGCATAATGAAGTCAAACTCCTCCAGATACTTGTTGAGGTTTTCTAAAATGCAGCCAGCTTGACAGACCAAGATCCCTGAAACATAAGCATCAAGAACAGCCTGAGAAGTCATGAAGTTGGAACTCCATAGGCCAATGTTTCTCAACCTTGGGTCGTCAAGGTGTTTTGGACTTCAACGCCCAGAAATCCCAGGAAGTTTACCAGTTGTTAAGAATTGTGGGAGCTTAAGTCCAAAACACCTGGAGGACCAAATTTTAGAACCACTGCCATAGGCCATTGAGTATCACTCCCATTCAATGAAGGAACTCCAGTCAGAGCATCCCCAGCAGGCAGCTGTCCAGAGAGAGACCTCATCACGGTCTAGGTCAGTTGTTCTCAACTTTTGGTCTTCCAGGTGTTTTGGACTTCAGCTCCCACAATCCTTTACAGCTGGAAAGTTGGTTGGGATTTCTGGGAGTTGAAGTCCAAAGCACCCGGAGGACCAAAAGTCGGGAACCACTGGTCTAGGTAATCATCAAATAAAAGCAAACTTCTTTTTTCTATCTCTGCCATCTTCAGTCATGATGCTCAGTGGGTCACCCTGACCTGATAACCAGTGAGTCATCAAGGTCCAGTAGAAGGCTATTTATCCAACCCCATAGAGTTTCTATGAGGACAAAACAGAGATGGGAGGAAATCATGCATGTTACCTTGGGCTTCTTGGAGGAAAAGCAGAATATAAATGATTTAATGAGAATAATAAATCAATTTAGGAAGTCCAGATCTATTGAGAAAATTTCCTTACAGAGGCGTCTGAGTGTTTTTCCTGTTTACCATATTCACAGCATGGAATCACTACCCTTTTTGAACTACAAAACTACAAATTTGCCTACGGGATTCTGGTATCCAAAAGATATATTTTCCATGCCTTCTCCATATTTACCCTGCACCAGTTCCATTTGCTGTCAACAGCATAACCTGCATGAGAGATGCTGTATTCTTTTTTCTTTCACTGATTCCGAGACCCCATCTACACTGTCATATAAAATCCAGATTATCTGTCTTGAATTGGATTATATGGCAATGTAGACTCATATAATCCATTTCAAAGCAGATAATGTGGATTATCTGATTTGATAATCTGGATTATATGGAAATGTAGAAGGGACTTTAGATAAATATACCCACCTGAAACAGTGTCGAAGCTGATAACCTGATTCATAAGAGCCGTGGAGAGAATGATCTCATCGAAGACAGGGACGCTGCCCCCAACAAGGCCAGTGTTACCTCCCTGGGGATTCACAGCCAGGTTCCTCTCGTTGCAATACCTGAAAGGAAACACATTTGGCTCATGGGGAGTTTTCTCTTGAGGCAGGGGTTCTTCACCTGAAGCCCAGGAGACCAGAGTGTGTTATGATGGATAACCTTCACGAGCATTAGCTAAAGATTATGTGAAGGAACTCATTTGCAATGAATTAAATTATATGCAAATATTTTTGAGTATACTGTTAATGATTACTGGTATGTGTATTTTTTTTTCTTGATCTCTCATGAAATTCTCCAAGTGACCAATGCCCTTGAAAATGCTGTAATGGGGGAATTAAAAACAATTCAAGAATAAAAAGCAGTCCTAACTCAGAATAAGTCCGGTGGCTTCTAATGAATCTGTGAATGCATCCAGCCAGCATGATTCTTGTTTTTACAACTATAATTAGTATTTTGCTCCTTGGGGTGAAACACTGTCAAAAATAAAACAAACAAACAAGAATCTGGAAGTGATCTGAAGTCGATGTATGGGTTGGAAAAATGGCTGGGTTTCCAGGAGTGTCAATTCACCCATCACCACCAACTATGATAGAGTAGTTGAATCAATGGAACTTACAGAACTGTTAGCTTACCTAGTTCTTCTTTATTCACAGGACTAATTTGGCTGGGACTAACAATTTGATTTAGAGTAGACCATCATGATGAATATTCTTTTATTGCTTACTTGGAAAGCAAAGAAAGGAGCATTGGATTTATTGTTGAAGGCTTTCATGGCCGGAATCACTGGGCTGCTGTAAGTTTTTCGGGCTGTATGGCCATGTTCTAGAAGCATTTTCTCCTGACATTTTGCCTGCATCACAACCTCACAACCTCTGAAGATGCTATCCACAGATGCAGGTGAAACATCAGAAGAGAATGCTTCTGGAACATGGCCATACAGCCCGAAAAACTTACAGAAACCCAGAGCTATGTATTTCTTTTAAAATAATACAACCCTCAACTTTTCCATTGTGCTTTTATGGAAGGAATGTAGAACATCTAATTCTAACCTGTGAAGGCTCCCCATTTGGCCTACACATTATTTATGCTTTTATTTCCAATCATTGAGTAGCAATAAGAAGGACTATCAAATACTGTACACAGACCTGAGATGGGTTTAGGTGCAAGAAATGTGTTGCAAAGTACTTAGCTTGACAATTCAGGCACAAAATGTAGATTGAAAAATAAATGTTGGACTCAGATTGAGTCCAGGTTAGTTCTGCTTTGTATGCTTGATGGGGAAACGTCCACACTGATAAGAATTATATCTGTGACCATCTCACCTGCTTTCCTTTCTCCTGCCCAATGACCCTAGCCCTATTCGCTGCTCAAACCCCTTCTGCCCATGAGAATTTTTCCAAACATGAACTAAAAATTTTCCCTGCCTCTGATTTGTGTGAAGGGATCAGAAGATCATTCACTCCTCAACCTCCCAAGTTCTTCTATCCAGAAAGGAACGACTCTGGAATATCATCACAACAACACTCGTATTTCTGTTCCTAAAATGTATCTGAATGTCACAGAAGTAAACCATATTCTTCTGAACACTTAGATGTCATTACATAGTTCATTATGATAATAATGTAACGTTACCTGAGAATCTCAGATACTTCCACCGTTGTCTGTGGTTTCAGCAACACTTTACTGCAGCCTGTCATGTAAAGAAGATGTGAGGACATCTAATTGACGTTCACACTACCATTCCCATCAGAACAACAATGCTAGACTTCTTCATTAACTGGAACTGAGAAGGTTTAAGGTATCATATGTAGGTATAATAAACTAGATTGCAAAGTAATCACTGTGGGGCAGTTTTGTAAAGTGATGCAATTTACAAACTACATTTTAATATTGGCATTACTGAAACCAAACCATTAAACGTAACAAACCTCTCACTGATTTCAACCAATCCACATTGAAGAGTTCCAGTTCATCTACATCTGTAACAACTCTGCCAGGCATAAGACGTTCAAAGAAAGACAGGTCAGCATCAGACACATGGGCAAAGGGCAACCTCTGCACCTCATATCGCTCACTAGTAAGCATCACTTCCTGGAGACGAAGCTGGGTGGTATGGAGACTTCTCTTGGTCAAGGAATTGATGGTAGGTGGCTTAAGCATCGGTCTCGTCAGTGGCCTTATCGTCTTTGCTGTCATTTTGCAAGGAGAGCTACTGTTGATCCACAAACTTGAGGCTTTTCTTGAGCATCTCATCTGCATCCTTGGGAAGATCCCGTGATGTCCAAAATAACAATATCGGCTAAGGCTGGAAGCAGCCATGGTTAACCTGAAGCACAAAACGGAAGAGTAATGCAGTTTTATCTTTCCCCCCCAAAAGGCACACAATTTCAGACATTTATTTTCAGGTGGTTTAATATTTTCCCTTCCTTTTTTTTTTTTTTTTACTGTTTCAACATTATGTTGGAAATAGCAACTTTCTCAAGCCTCCACTAGTTGTTTGTTATGTATATAATTCAAATTGTTTACTGTATTGTATATGTGTGTACTGGTTTGCAATTTTACTTTAACTCTTTGTTGTGGGAGTTAGTACTAACATTGTTACTACAATGCCGCCTGAGCCCTACCACATGCAGAATGGAGGACCTTCTCACAATGACACCAGAGGCACTCCAAGTAGCCTGGTTCTGGTCAAAGGACATTTAGTACAATGCCAAGTTTTAAACTTTGTGATTTTTCTATACATTATAACTGTATTCTCAATTTGCTTTTGACACAATAAATAAATAAATAAATAACCTCAATCCAAATATTAACCAAGAGGCCTCACTGCAATTCCCATCCCACCCAGCCATCCTGGCTTTTGCCTTTTAACTCAGAGCTTCTAAAAGTTAAATTTTGGACTTTACTTTTACTTCATCACACTGCAGAAGGCTCCTCCCTAAACTACAAACTCCACAATTCTGCAGAAGGCAGCAACCGGATTTAAAGTGGATTCATTCTCTAGTGTGATGAGGTGTGATGTAGTAAAAGTAAAAGTATAGTCCAAAACGTAACTTTATTTAGAAGTTTTGAGTCAAAAGGCAAAAGCAGTTGGCCAAGATGGCTGGGTCCAATTTTTGAAGTGCTTTAAAGAACTTACTGGGTATTAGGTTAGGTAAAAGCTTTCACCTGACATTAAGGCCAGTCATGTCTGACTCTGGGCGTTTGTGCTCATCTCCACTTCTAAGCCGAAGAGCCAGTGTTGTCAGCACAGACACCTCCAAAGTCCTTTGGCCGGCATGACTGCATGGAGCGCCGTTATTATGTATTACACTTATTTTAATTTTGGTCCCTTTCTGACACTTCTAACACTTTAATAACTTAATGACATTTTCCTCCTAGCCCAGCCCTCCAATTGTCACACTTTCCCTGGCTCTATTTAGGATTCATTGCACTTAGTAATTATGAACCTAACCCAGCACTTTATTTGCTCAGCCATGATATTGCTTTTAATTGTTTTTATAACGTTCTCTGATTTTATGTTTATTGATATTTGATATTGCTTGTTTTTTGAAGCTTATTTTTAACCCGTTTTGTTGGGTGAGTTCCTTTGTAAGCTTCCCCAACTCCCTTCGGGGAGATGGAGGCAGGGTATAAAAATAAAATAATATTATAATTATAATAATAATTATTATTATTATTATTTGTATTTGTATTATTACTATTAAAGTTGTTACTTTAATTTTATCGAGTCTCTTTGTTATATGTTACTATTGGCATTGAATGTTTGCTACTGTGTTTTATTTTGCTGGAAGCCGCCCAGAGTCCCCTTAGGGAGATAAGGTGGGTTATAAATAAAGCATTATTATTTGATACATAACAAGATTAGTACACAGGAAACAAGATCACTATGCTGGCTTTTATATTTGATCACACGTTGGACACTTCCCAAGTGTTTAGGGCTGTGTGATGTATCAGTAGATCTGAGTAGGGTGGCCTTTTGCAGCTGACAGATGGCGATTTTGTCAGCGCTGATTGTTTTAAGTGCAGGCCAAGATCTTTAGGCACTGCACCTGATGTGCCAATCACCACTGGGGCCACATTATTATTATTATTATTATTATTATTATTATTATTATTATTATTATTATTAACAAACAAGATGAGTCCACAGCAGACACTCTGCTGGCTGTTGTATTGGATCACATGTCGGACACTTCCCAAGTGTCTAGGATTGTGGGATGTATCAGCGAATAATGCGGGCAGATCCCAGTAAGGTAGTCTTTTGCAGCTGGCAATCTTGTCAGCACCGATTGTGTTTAAGTGCAGGCCAAAGTCTTTAGGCACTGCACCCAGTGTGCCGATCACCGCTAGAACCACCTTGACTGGCTTGTGCCAGAGTCTTTGCAGTTCAATCTTTAAATCCTCATATTGTGTCAGCTTTTCCAGTTGTTTCTCTTCAATCCTGCTGTCACCTGGGATTGCAACATCGACAATCCATACGGTGGCGCAGTGGGTTAAACCCCTGTGCCGGCAGGACTGAAGACCGACAGGTCGCAGGTTTGAATCCAGGGAGAGGCGGATGAGCTCCCTCTATCGGCTCCAGCTCCTCATGTGGGGACATGAGAGAAGCCTCCCACAAGGATGATAAAAACATCAAATCATCCAGGCATCCCCTGGGCAACGTCCTTGCAGACAGCCAATTCTCTCACACCAGAAGCGACTTGCAGTTTCTCAAGTCGCTCCTGACACGACAACACGACAATGAGGTCAGGAGTATTATGCTCCAAAACTCTGTCTGTCTGAATTCGGAGTCCCAGAGTAGCTTGACGTGTTCATTCTTTGTAACTTTTTCTGGCTTGTGATCCTACCAGTTCTTTGTCTAACGAATCATCTGAGCAACGGTGTTGTGGCCTCTCTTGTTATTATTATTATTATTATTATTATTATTATTATTATTATTAGACCCAGAATTCCTTGGCTGGCACTACTGGGGGATTTTGGGAATTTTAATCACCCCAATTTTTTTTTACAAGGTATGGTTTTACTTGAGAAGAAAATCATGCAATCACAGACAAAGCTCAGAAGGCATGGGGTACAGAAGAGAGAAAGCAATAGTAGTAGTAGTAGTAGTAAAGAAGAAATACAGGCAAATTGTTTTCCCCTGCCTTTTGAATACATCAAACTACACCTGTAAATGATCTTATCTTTCAAATGACAATAATTGATCTGGACAGCCTATGGGAAAAATGGGTATAATCTAGATCAGGCATGGGCAAACTCTGGCCCTCCTGGTGTTTTGGACTTCAACTCCCACCATTCCTAACAGCCTCAGGCCCTTTCCTTTCCCTTTTCCCATTCCTTTTCCGCTTAAGAGTCTGAGGCTGTTAGGAATGGTGGGAGTTGAAGTCCAAAACACCTGGAGGCCCCAAGTTTGCCCATGCCTGATCTACACTATAGATTTAATGCAGTTTGATACCGCTTCGACTGCCATCACTCGCTGTATGTGTCATTTTACAAGGTCTTTGGCTTCCTCTGCTGTTGTCTCACCAGGATCCCATCGCATGGAGCCAATACAGTTAAAGCGGTGCCACACTGCATTCATTCTACAGTGTAGATGCACCCCAGGACAGGTAAGAATCCGGACCAAAACAGGGCTCCAAGGGCAGAGCTGTCCTTCCTATTCGCTCACCTTTAAAGGCACCCAAGAAATACCTGCGCACTGCATGCCTCTCCTCCTTGGCGAATCAGGGCGGTCCTTTGAGGGCTCCTCCTCCTCTTTAGCGGACCAAGCAGAGAACTGAGAGAGTGACGCAAGGTGGGCGGAGCCAAGAGGCACAGAAGCATTTCAGCGCCTTCCTATGGAGGGGCTTCCCCATAGCAAGTGTAGGTCAGGCCTGGGAGGCTTACATGGTACTGACAAAGCATGGAGGGAATTTGCCCAAGGCAACAGTATGTGGTTTCTCGGCTTCCAAGGGTGCAAAGGGATGGTTCAACAGCAGAGATGAAGGTAAAATAACATTGGCTGTTGTATGATTTCCAGAGTGTATGGCCGTGCTCTAGTAGCATTTTCTCCTGACATTTCGCCTGCATCTGTGGCTGGCATCTTTATAGGAATTTGTCTCACCAACATTGTTCAATCCTTTAAAGATGCCATCCACAGATACAGGAGAAACGTCAGGAGAAAATGCTGCTGGAGTACAGCCATACAGCCCAGAAACCACACAACACCCCAATGATTCCGGCCTTGAAAGCCAACAATACATTAAAATAACATTGCCAAATCCTACATCTCTTTCTCATTGTGTTTATTGTTGCATGCCTTCAAGCCATTTGGAAATATAGTATATTTCAACTAGGGATATTTATAAAGAACAATTCTATTGTGTAGCCAAAGGCTTTCATGACCAGAATCACTGGGTTGCTGTGAGTTTTCTGGGCTGTATGGCCATGTTCTAGCAGCATTTTCTCCTGATGTTTCGCCTGCATCTGTGGCTGGCATCTTCAGAGGAATTTGTCTCATCAACATTGTTAGATCCCCTGAAGATGCTATCCACAGATGGAGGCGAAACGCCAGAAGAAAATGCTGCTAGAACACAACCACACACCACCACAATGACAACACCCGTGAAAGCCTTGGACAATACATTAAAATAGCATCACCAAATCCTACATCCCTTTCCCATCGTGTTTGTTGTTGTATGCCTTTGAGTCATTTGGAACTATAGTATATATTTCAACTAGTTCAACTAGGCTAGGAAAATTAATAAAGAACGACAACTCTATTGTGTTGTTGAAGGCTTTCATGGCCAGAATCACTGGATTGCTGTGAATTTTCTGGGCTGTATGGCCATATTCCAGAAGCATTCTCTCCTGAAATTTCGCCCACATCTATGGCAAGCATCCTCAGAGGTTGTGAGGTCTGTTGGAAACTAGGCAAGTAAGGTTTATATATCTGTGGAATGTCCAGGGTGGAAGAAAGAACTCTTTTCTGTTTGAGGCAAGTGTGAATGTTGCAAACGGCCACCTTGATTAGCATTCAATGGCCTTGCAGCTTCAAAGCCTGTCTGGTTGCAGCCCGGAAAACTCACAGCAACCCACCAACAACTCTTATTGCTTGGGTATGAATCAAAAGAAGCAAAGAATCAAAAGGTACAATGGCAAGTATGTTTGTAAATAAAATAAATAAAAGAAAAGCAAGAAAACCCCTTTTCATAGAATCATAGAATTGAGTTGGAAGAGACATCCTAGGCCATCCACTCCAACCACTTGCCAAGAAGCAGGAAAATCACAAAGCACCCCTCACAGAAGGTCATCCAGCCTGTTTAAAAGCCTCCAAAGAAGGGGCCTCCACCACACTCCAGAGCAGAGAGTTCCACTGCTGAACATATCTCACAGTCAGGAAGTTCTTCCTCATGTTGAGGTGTAATCTCCTTTCCTGTAGTTTGAAGCCATTGTTCCGCATCCTAGTCTCCAGGGCAGCAGAAACCAAGCTTGCTCCCTTCTCCCTATGACTTCCCTCACATATTTATACATGGCTCACATATTTATAGCCTTCTCTTCTGAAGGCTAAACATGCCCAGCTCTTTAAGCCACTCCTCCAGATCCTTGATCATTTTAGTCACCCTCCTCTGAACACATTCCAGTTTGTCAACATCTCCCTTTAGTTGTGGTGCCCAGAATTGGCCACAGTATTCCAGATGTGGTCTGACTAAGGCAGAATATTTTACTGACGACTTGATTAATATATAGTTCTAATATATGGGGGAAATCATAGAATCACTGAGTTGGAAGAGATCTCGTGGGCCTCTAGTCCAACTTCCTAGCCAAGATTTCAAAGCACCCCAAAAACTCAAAATAGATTCCTTTTAGGAGATGGCTATGACTTGAAGGCACATAACCACAACAAAGTAGTAGGACACTAGATATGTGCCATGGTTTTGCTGTGCGATAGCAAAATTAGGAGAGGTGTATACATTTCTGATAGAAGTATTTGAAGCTGTCAATAATACATTGTGTTCTACTTCGACAATGAAACATTTGTTCCCAAAAATACTTTATTTATAACAATATACCTATCATATCTATAACATGATCAAAAATACAGATATACATTTTCACATTTTAATAAAAAGATCTCGAATATTCTTTTCGATTTACAAAGGAAACATACATTCCTTGACAAGGAAGTTTAGGCGGCGACATTTGTTTACTTAGTGAGAAACTATGAGGAAAAAAGATGACTACCACAAAATAGGTTAAAGTTATGTTTCAGAGAGAGAGGGGCGCTATTTCAATTTCCCCTCCTGTGCTCAACTCCGGACCATCAAAAGGAACAATCGTGGGACAGATACATTCAACATTCAAGAGAATACATTCTCCGCAGGTCAGGATCAAGAGGACAGATACTTGTAGTCTGTATCAATGGTACAATCCTGACCAAAATTATCTATTTGATAAAACAATCAATTTGGTGGCTTTTTCCTCCCAAGATGGCAGCATTTACTCAGTGGTTCTCAACCTGTGGATCTCCAGGTGTTTTGGCCTTCAACTCCCAGAAATCCTAACAGCTAGTAAACTGGCTAGGATTTCTGGGAGTTGTAGGCCAAAACATCTGGGGACCCACAGGTTGAGAAACACTGATTTACAAGGAACACCTTTATTGCTCAGTCCAAGACTATATTCCAAAAACAGTAGCTTCACTACAGTTCTGGTGTCTCCATCTTAAAGAAGGGGGAGAAATCCTCTTAATTCTTTGGAATCGTACATGATTTCAATCCTATTTTAAAATAAAGTTAACAGTTTAGTTAACTCCAGTACCTATATGCCAGCACTATCTATGCAAAAAACACGTCTCAAAGGATTTCAAGATTTATATAAACACTAGTCCTCTGTTATCTTAACACAGCAATTGAAAAGAAGGGGAACTAGATCATAAAAAATGTAGTAAAAACTAATCCCATCTCATTTTACGATCCAGAAAGGCATTACTCGTTAATTCCTGAATTATTAAATCATCAATGCTCGGTATAAATTTCACGACATACCAGCACAATCTATAGGCCAGCCACAATGTATGGTTACTTGATAAAGCTACCAGGTCCTCAGTTAATATTTTCCCCATCTGTTTGCATGGGATTGCACAAACTAAAAGGATTGTCAAGCATCTGGCGAACTGTAGAGCTTGGGAGGCCATATTTGGCTAAACAGACCACAGTGACTGCAGACTTACTTTACATTAAGAGATAAGTCTTCTCACACTGAAAATGAAAATGCTTCCTCAATCCAATTTGGGAAAAGTTTAATGCAGTGGTTCCCAATCTGGGGTCCTCAGATGTTTTTGGCCTTCAACTCCCAGAAATCCAACAGCTGGTAAACTGGCTGGGATTTCTGGAAGTTGGAGGCCAAAAACATCTTGGGACCCCAGGTTGAGAACCACTGGTCTAATGCCTCCCTTTGAAACTGATCCATACATTATTGAGAAGGACAACTACTTCAGAATGAACACTTGCTCCTCTGAATAGCAAAACAACAACAAAAGGCAGTAATGCAACACTCTGGCAGAAAATTGTGACCAAAGGACACGAGAATTGCAAATTATTTCCCTCCAGGCATTATTCCTTTCCTCTCTGCAATGAAAATGTGCATATAAACCAGTCTTGGGCAAACTTGGGCCCTCCAAGTATTTTGGACTTCAACTCCCACAATTCCGAATTGTGGGAGTTGGAAGTTCAAAACACCTGGAGGGCCCAAGTTTGCCCAAGACTGGTATAAACATTGAAAAATGAATGCAGTAACAAGAAATCCAAAGTGATAAAAAGAACACTGTCATTAAATGCAATTATTTCCTTCAACAAGCATGGGGTCCTTCCTCCAGATGTTTTAGAATTATAATTCTCATGATCACTGACCACTGGGGTTTATGGCAGCTGAAATCTAAAACATCTGGAATGGAAGAGGTTCCTTGCCCTATGCTTACTAAACAATATGCAAAAGTGGAGTGTGAAATAAGCAGTTAGAACTTATTTCCTAACAAGAAGTAAATCAAGTTATTTCCCCTTCCTTTAAAGCTAGAATTGCTGATTACGATATATATATATATTTGTCTTCCCTTTATTTTCCAGAATGAAAGCAAGATTCAAAGTGATGCTGCAGCCATTATGGAGTACCGGTTGCTTCAAGAGTGCAGAAGCCATCATTGATTAAGATATTCCTAATAAATTCCACATTTTTATAACAGACAGCATAACTATGTATGTTATAATTTGGGATTTTTTTACAAAGAAAAACCTCACTTCACAAAACAAATAGAGAAATAGTAACTGGCAATTTTTTTGACCTGAATTTCTTTCCCCATATGAATTTGGAAACAGATGAAATATTAAAGTAACATGCAGAAAATCATTGTTATCTAGGATATAGAGATGTTGCATCTTTCTTTTTTTGTACCTGGTGGCACAATAGGTTAAACCCTTGTGCAAACTGAACTGCTGGCCAAAAGGTCGATGGTTCAAATCTGGGGGGCAGGGTGAGCTCCCATCTGTCAGCTCCAGCTTCCATGAGGGGACATAAGAGAAGCCTCCCACAGGATGATAATACATCCGGGTGTCCACTGGGCAACGTTCTTGCAGACAGCCTATTCTCTCACAGCAGAAGCGACTCAAGTCGCTTCTGATACAAAAAAAAACCCTATGCTATCCAATGAAAATTTAGTTTTTGAAGCTGGCAAATACTGTATTACCAGATAGGAGACTAAAGTACGCATTATACAAACAATGATGGCTATATCATGCCTCTTTAAACTTTCCAGTTTATTGTCTGCCTATAATCTGAGGTCCTTTTTTATACCAGACTCAGAGCAAAGATGTTTCATGTCAGTTAAGCTTCTGTAAAAGATGGTACCAAATATACCAGATAGCTTGGCTTTATGCAGGCACAGCAATCTTTACTTCCTTAAAATTGGAGACTTTTTAAAGCTAGTTTGACTGGTTACTTATTCCTTAAACATTAAAACTAATAGATTATTGGCATTCAGCAATAACTACTGAATAAATACTGGGGAAAAAAATAACGGATGTTTCATGAGTGAATCAGACTTTACTGAATTCCTCTCCCATCTTCAGAACTCCTTGTGTCTTTATTGTATCAAATCAAGACCAGAATGAAGTCCAGAGAAAATAGCGCACAGATCAGAAACAATTAGAGCAGGTGTAAAACTCCCCAACATGGAATAGACCTTAACAAAATAATGTAATTACTTTCCTTTTGCCTTTCCAAGAAAGCTTTCGTTCCTTTTGCAACTTGCCTCTAAAAGGGCAGAACTGCATATTAAAAAAATAGAATCCCCTCCTTTTCAAAACTGAATATAGTTTAGGAAAAGTAACAATTAGACTTTAAGTTCCTTCATAAATATTGTGCGGTGCAGTGAATACACATTTGATAACCACAAATGATATCACCTTCACATGCAAGGCCATAGGCAATTTCACAGACGTCAGTTATGGGAACAAAAATTCCAGTGCAGGGCTACTTCATAACATTGATCACAGTGCCATGGAAACGTAACCTGGGTAAACATCACCCACAAACTTCCTCTTATTCCCAATTAGGATGGCTCCCTCTGTGATAAAGAGAACGACAACTGGCCACTGATAAATACCAGATCAAACACATAGGTCAGTGAAAAAAAAAAGAGATAAAATATTGCAACGGGTATGAATATATGAAACGTCTTTTTTTAGACAATACATTCTCTTCTTCTTCTTCTTCTACTTCTTCTTCTTCTCCTGAGCACAGCGAGGACAAAACCTAGGGACAGCAAAACACAACATTTAGTTCAGGAGTTTTTAACATTTCTTTCAGGCAAAATAATGATTTTTAAAATTACAGAAAACAATGATTCATGGCACTTACCATTTCCCTTTGGGTTTTGTTGTAAGGTCCACGCAAGCAAAATGAAACCATTCGATTGGACACTAAATATTGGGAAGGTAAAAATAAGGTAACGGTTTTTTAAAGAGTTTGACAATATTTCTGAGACACATCTACAATTTTTCTGGCTAAAGAAAACCTGGTTCTATATATATGTTCTATGAACAATTCCAGATAAATATAGGCTAATGGTAACTCCCAGTGACCATTTGAAGGAGGTACTTCCCACTAAAAATTTATCCCTCTCTCATGTATGCTTTCAAATTCCTGTGTCAGTAGAAAACTAATGCACAGCCACCTTTTACACTTCTTTCCAGAAACATATCCTGGCATGGAAAAGAAGTATATGATTCACTTTTATTTAAGCAATGTGCAACCAATCCTATTTTCCAAAGTTAAGGGCTTTAGATTTTTGAGTTTTTGTGCCGAATCCTTAATGTAGGCCCACACTACAGTCATGCTTTTTAAAAAAAACACTCTTGAATTACACTATGAAACAAAATTTGAATTTTTTTTTTGTTCCTGGCTTGAAAGTGTTATTTCCTGTTTAATTGTGCAGTACTTACTTCAAAATTAGTTGTTCTATTCCAAAAACTTTGTTTTTGTAGCTGCCATAAATGATGTTGAGTTGCTTGAGGCTCTATGAGATACTGTATATACTCGAGTATAAGCTGCCTTTTTAGGCTGAAAAAGCTCCCCTCAGCTTATACTTGAGTCAAAGTTATTTATTATTTTATTCTGTTATTAGTATTATTTTTATTCCATGTATTATTTTACTTTATTATTACATTTACAGTATGTTTACCCTATTATTATTATTATTACATTTGTTATACTTTATTATTATTGCATTTATTATTTTACTTTATTATTACATTTATTATTTTGCTGCATTATTACTGTTATTATTGCATTTCCATTATTTTACTTTATTGTTATTATTATTACATTTATTATTTTATTCTCTTTACTATTGTTGGAAGGATGTGTAAGTATATTTATATTGAAGAAGGTTAAAATAATGATTTAATCAGAGTTGGGCAGTCTTATCTCAAATTAGTTTTATGTAAATATTCAAAACATTTCACCTCCTGGTGCCTCAATTAATGTAATTTTATTGATATCTATTTTTATTTTGAAATGTACCTGTAGCGGCTGCATTTTCCACCCTCGGCTTATACTCGAGTCAATATGTTTTCCCAGTTTTTTGTGTTAAAATTAGGTGCCTCAGCTTATATTCAGGTTGGCTTATACTCGAGTATATACGGTAATTGAAAAACTATGGCAAAATGTGCTGCAGGATGTCCCGCAAAAACATTTTTGCACTTTAATAAACTTTTTCCATGTTTTAATGATAGAACCAATTAGGAAATGAACATTTATAATCCAAGAACAAAAACTGCATTACATAATGTTATAGCTATGAATGCCCCAGTAGATACAGTATAGGGGATTTTGAGAGTTACGGTGCAAAAGAATAACTTCTGGTATTGCTAGCTCTGCTTGCAGCATTAGCAGTTTCCTCTCTGCTGCAAATTAAACATGCTGAATTGATAGGGCACAGAAGGAATCAGGCCCGTAACAACTTCCATATATAGTCTTCCTCTGAGGCTGAGAATGCCTGACTTGCCCAAAGTCATCTTGTGGTTTCTGTGGTTGAACTGGGATTTCATAGAATCACAGAGCTGCAAGAGACCTCAATGACCGTCCAGTCCAATCCTTGGCCAAGAAGCAGGAAAATCGCATTCCAAACACTTCTGACAGATGGCCATTCAGCCTGTGTTTAAAAGCCTCCAAAGGAGGAGCCTCCACCACACCCTGGGGCAGAGAGTTCCACTGATGAACAGCTCTCAGGAAGTTCTTCCTAATGTTCAAGTGGAATCCCCTTTCGTACAGTTTGAAGCCATTGTTCCATGTCCTAGTGTGCTTCCTAGGGCAGCAGAAAACAAGCTTGCTCCCTCCTCCCTCTGACTTCCTCTCACATATTTAATTCATAGTCATAGTCCAGCATTCAAACCACACCACTACTCTGGCTCTTTCTCCTACCTGCAATTATGCATTACAAAGCTATTTCAGACTCCTGTTCTGCAGCTCAGATTAAAATAATCCACATCTTGATCACAGAGAGGCAGGTTTACTTAAATAAATTATTTTCTACACATTCTGAACTGAGGGCAGATACTTTTGGTTATCTTGGTACGTACATCAGGATTGTCGCAGCCAATCATTTCTCCATAGGATACTTGGTGGCACAGGCAATAGGTGGGTTCGTTTGGGTCCACTGGCATGTCCAGGACATCCGAAGGATGAACTGACAGGATGGTATCAGCTAATTCGGACCTTCGGTGGAAGCAATGCAAATGAGCCTTAGATTACTCTTAACAACTGCTTAACTTAGCTTAGTAACTGGCATTATTTTTGGTAATTCAGGTTTTTTTAAATGTTACAACTAGAATTATTCTTTTTAAAAATATTTTTAATTCAAGAAGCATGTACGGGGGGGGGGGAGAGATACACAAGAATAATAGAACAAACCAACAAGTTTTTAAAAGTTATATGTTTTAAGAACTACACATCTACATTTAACCTACTACAACTACAAGCACTACAACTAAGTACCTAATAAAAGTACAGATTGCAAACACAAAAATAAAACGTATGAATGAATGCACTTGTACAAAACAGACAGAAAAAAACAACAAATCACTAATCTATGAACCTCTTTGTGTTGGTGTGAGTTTTCCAGGCCATATGGCCATGTTCCAAAAGCATTTTTCCTGATGTTTCACCCACATCTATGGCAGGCATCCTCAGAGGTTGTGAGGATGCCTGCCATAGGTGTGGATGAAACATCACAACATCTAAGGATGCCTGTCATAGGTGTGGGTGAAACATCAGGAGAGAATGCTTCTGGAACATAGCCATACAGTCTGGAAAACTCATAGCAACCTTCTCTTTACCTGATGGTTAGATCTTTTATTAATCTAATCCCTTTATATGGTATTATGATATAGTCACACTTCTACTTTTAATGACATTTTTAATTCATAAATCTCACATTTAACATATACTCCCATCATATTAAAACAAAATAATAAAACAAGTCCCAATCTTTCTCAAAGTTTGACATATTCACCCTAATCAGATAGACAACTAATTATTTTTAGTAGTTCTTTTTTATTTTGCAACTAAAATTATTCTTGAGATCAAATTTCATTCATTTTTGTTAAAATATTTTTCTCCTACCTTATAAATCTTAGGGTGGTGTTCAAATAAATATCAATTTAATGTGCTATCACAAAGCATTACAATATACATAAAATTCTGAAACAGTTCTAAAATAAGTCCTTTGTTGATTGCTGGTCCTAATTCTTACCTTCGTTTTGGTTTCTTTTTCACTGGAGCCTCTTCCTCAGATGTTCTCCGGCCTCGGCCTCGGGAGCTTTTCTTTTCCTTTGGAATCCTCCCCTCTGAAATACAATTATTTCCAGTTAGCTCCACCATACGAGGAAAAGAAACCTTAGTATTTTTACAACCATTTTTTAAACCAAACAAAACACTAATTGTTTAAGAATTGGATTATTTTGATTTTTGTGCTAACACTACAGTATGAGTGTACACTTTGGAAAAGTACAATATAAACAAATTGATTTCAGTTCATAAGGTTTCTTTAGAGTGAGACCATACTGTTCAGAAAGTACACACTTTTCAAATTTTGTGTTACGGGGTTTTCAAAGTCGCTGCCTTCCAGCTTGTCCTTCAAATCTGCTTCAAATCGTGCCAAGTCAGCATCTAGCCGTCGAATGTGTTTATCTACCTACATTAAAGAAAGAATACACGGCTGAGAAAAACAACACCATTTTGTATCTCTGACTAGTAACTCTAGGAACTGTAGGATTCCACTGAATACATTGAAATCAATAGGATCCTTTTCCCCACTTCAGTACACCCCCTCATATCTCTTACATGCTAGTCTATGGCCTGGAAAAGTTACTGTTTGGATTACAACTCCCAGAATCTCCCAACTAGCATGACCAGTGTCTCTGTTGGAATCTTAAAGCACTGAGAACCCCCTGAGCTGCCTCACAACAATCAGCTTACTTTCCAAAACAATCTTTTTTTATAAAAAGTCAATAAATTCCCCAATTGACAAATTCAGCTGCTTGCCAATACCCAGCATTTTAAAATAAACTGCAGGGTTTGCATTTTTTTAAAAAAACCTTTTGGTTCCCAAACAGTAAAAGATCCCACAAGGAATAATCACAACCTTATGCACAACTCCAGCTCAAATATTTGGAAACAGAGAATGCATAATGCAAATCTATTGTCTTCCTGAACTTGAATCAAGCATAGAATCCCTATGCCTTTGCTGGCTGTGGAGGCTAACGGCTTCCCTGTTAGTGAGATAATGAATCTGCTGCAGGTTTGACTCTTAACATTGAAAAGCATACTTATCCAAAGTGCAGAACCTACTCCCAAAATAAGATCATCATTTTGAATAGCTCCTTTAAAGTTCAGAACAAACCCTCAGTAGCTTCACTGCCCTACTAATTTAGGATGCATCTACACTGTAGAATGAATGTAGTTTAGTACCACTGTACCTGCAATGGTTCAACACTATGGAATCTTGGAAGATGTAGTTTGCTGAAGCAACAGCTCTATTTGGCAGAGAAGGCTGAAGACTACAACTCCCATGATTCCATAGCATTGAGTTATAGAAGTTAAAGTGGTGTCAAACTGCATTAATTCTACACTGTAGATACACCCATGGAAGCCAACAACAATGAACCTCAGTTTGTGATATAAAACTGCAAGGCAAAACTCTTAAGACAGAGAGAGCAGCTCATCAGCAGAAGCACTCCATTTATTGAGACTTACCATCTCATAAGTCTGCATAGCCAACTGCACTTTGTCATCGCTATACTCCTTGCACTTTGCATAGGCATTCTGGATCTTCTGCAGGATTTCCACCCGTTCTTCCGACGAGAGATTCCTCACGGTTGAAATGTATTGAGCAGCAAGACGGTCGATTTCAGCTTTTTTGTCTGCAGGTAAATGGAACACGGCATATGCGTGAGGGCGGCTGGCAATTCTCCTAGACACTTCTGCACACAAATACCTTCCACACAGCTTGGCTTTGAAGACTGTGAATCAGGCAATTGGGAAACTGCAGACTCACAGAGCTTGCTGCTTCCATGCTATCTACAGGCTCTGCTGCTCCCGTTGCCGCTGCCACCACCACCACCACTATTTTCACCCTTTTCTTCTGCTCTCTGTTGAAGGGGTGGTGGGCAACAGGCTAGCTGATGGCCAAGCAAGCGAGGAACAGATGAAGATGCAGCTTTTGGTTTGAAGTGCCTTTTATGCTTATCTCAGTCAATGAGGGAATGTGGGTTACCCTTAGGCTAGTGCACGGTTCCCCATTCCTCAGGTATAGCTCTAAAGAAAAGTTCAGAAGTTTCCACTTCCATTCTGGCCCAACCTGAATCTCATCTACAGTATGTTTGAAATAAGCAGACTGCTTATTTCAGACCGCTTCAAATAATCATAGTTAAAACCAACTGCAGTTCAGACACAATGGCATCCAGTAGATAATGAAGAAGTGAACATTTCCAGGCCTTTAAACAGTGGTTCTCAACCTGTGGGTCCCCTGATGTTTTGGCCTACAACTCCCCAAAATCCCAGCCAGTTTACCAGCTGCTAGGATTTCTGGGAGTTATAGACCAAAACATCTGGGGGGACACAGGCTGAGAACCATTGCTTTAAAACTATATGACAACTGAATCATACCCATGTATAATTTGAAGTGTGCTGATTCCTTATTTATAAAGTAACTTCCAAGCTGTGATTTATAAAATTATTTTCAGTGGAAATCCAGTTTGACCAAAATGCCTCACTCTACCTTCTGTTCTCTGATCCAATTCACGCATAAGTTGGAAGTTCCTCTGCAGCTCACAAGGAAGGTTTTCGATGCCTGAAATAAACAAAAGAACAACTCTAGTCTCTTCTACAGACAAGTGTTTTAATAAAAGACTTTCTTTCATAAACAAACTACAAATAACTAGGGAAAAAATTTAAAACCTCACTAGCTTCCACAATTACCTGCTCTATCATACCTTGTGCTCTAGTTGTTCCCTTCTCTGGAGGTTTTTAAGCAAGAAGTTGGATGGCCATCTTTGGGGGGGGGGGTGTTTTGATTGTGTGTCACTATATGGCAGGGGGTTTGATTGGATGGCCCTTGTGGGGGGTCTGTACCAACTCTATGATTCTTGTATCCTTCACTTTCTCATGGAATTACTTTTATTTTTAAAAGAATTGACAGAATAATTAGATTAAACAAGTAAGTATTAAACTTAGTTTTTATATACAGAGGCCACAAGAAGTGTGACTCCAGCATTTCTCTCTGGGCCCTTCCACACAGCCATATAACTAAGGATGGCAAGGTAGGAAGTGCTGGTTTTATCCTATAAAGCCCTAAACAGTTCTGGCCCAACTTACCTGTCCGAACGTATCTCCCCTTATGAACCATCTGGAACCTTGAGATTGTCTGGAGAGGCTCTGCTCTTGGCCCCGCCCCCATCACAGGTACGCTTGGTGGGGATGAGAGACAGGGCCTTCTCAGCGGTGGCCCCCCGGCTATGGAACGCCCTCCCTAGAGAGATTAGATCTGCTCCCTCCCTCTTAACGTTTCGGAAGCAAGTCAAAACGTGGTTGTTTGAGCAAGTGTTCACAAACACAGAATAACGGATATGGATAAATGACATAGGAAATGGACAATGGAATTGGGCAATGCTTGACAATAAGGAAACGCTAATGATGTTGTTTTTATTGCTGTTGTGGTTTATGTAATTGTAATGTTTTAAATTGTTTTATGATACTATGTCTACTGTTTTGTTGGAAACTGCCTTGAGTCGCCGATAGGCTGAGAAATACAGTAAATAAATAAATAATAAATAAATCCCATATCTGCTTTGAACTGGAATATATGGCAGTGTGGACTCAGATAACCCAATTCAAAGCAGATATTGTGCGATTTCCTATCTTGATATTTTGGGTTATATGATCTGTGTGGAAGGGCCCTTTCTCTTTCTCTCTAGACCTGTATAATTTGATTAATACTCCATTTTAAGTCTTCTCAAAGCATTGAACAATAAAATATAATTCAAACAGGTGGCCAAAAATAAGGTTCTTTAAGCCAGGCATCCTCAAACTGCGTGCCTCCAACTCCCAGAAGCCCTAACGAGCTTGTTCAATTGGCAGGAATTCTGGGAGTTGAAGGCCCAAACAGCTGGAGGCCAGCAGTTTGTGGATGCCTGGTTTAAGCTATTTAACATTTCAAAGTGATCAACTTTCTGCTTGGCTTCTATGGCAAGCTCCACCTCCTGAATGTATATTCGCTAAGAGGCTTTTAAAAAGAGAATTGGATGGATTGCAATGAAATACAGGTCATCAATTCTAGAAACCCCAAGCTTTGGCTCCTCTAGAGGCTGGGGACTTCAACTCCCAGAAGCCTTTGCCAGCTTGGCAGACGACCAGGAATCCTGGGAACTGAAGTCCCCTGGCGGTCGAGAGCTGCCACAGAAGACGGCAGCGAAGCCCCGCCCCTTGCGTAGCCAATGACGCAGCAGGAAACTTCCCCCTCCTCTCGCCGCCCCCTCCCCCACGCACCCGCCCACGCGCCAGGATCTGTGACGCAGCCGGAATTGCCGGCGTGGCCGGCCTTCGCTGGTTTTCGTCCTGGCTCGTGCTCTCCCCTTTCCTTCCTTCCTTCCTTTCCCCCCTCCGCTCCACTCACTGTCCAGGTAGTGCTCCAGGTACAGGGCCGCCGCTGCCATTTCGCGCACCGCCGGCCTGGGCCAACCAAAGCGCGCGCGCGCCGCTGTCACCCGGGCGCCTTCGCAATGGCCGGCCCTACGCCCCTCATTTGCATAGTCATGAGCGTGCCGCCGCCGATTGGACGACACGGTTATAAATAAGGGGGCGGGGCTCGCCTTTTTTTTTTCGTTCTGGCTCGCGCTCTTGAATGAGTGAGCGCGCGCTCGCTCGCGAGAGCTCTTTTCACAGAGCGTCCCTTGAGCGTCGGACTCAGCGGACGCGCCTCTACGCTCGCTCCCTGTTTCGATTCTCTCAGGACGCCGTGGGTGGATCTATAACAGGCATGGGCCAACTTGGGCCCGTCCTCCGGATGTTTTGGACTTCAACTCCCACAATTCCCAAGAGCCTCAGGCCCCTTGCTTTTCCTCCTCAGCCACTTAAGCGGTGAGGGGGAAAAGGAAAGGGCCTGAGGCTCTTGGGAATTGTGGGAGTTGAAGTCCAAAACATCCGGAGGGTCCAAAATGGCCCTCGCCTGGTGTCGCTGCACCCTTACTTAGCATCGGGATTGGCATCAGAAATGAGAAAGAGATAGCTTGAGGCCCACTTCCGGTTTGGTTGCTATGGCCACGCGGTAGCCGCTCTGCACGCCGGAAGGGCGCTTTTCTGTGGCTGAGGCGAGCGCGGGAACGTTCCACTCTGGAGAGGCGCCATGGCAGGACGGCGCGGGGCATTGATCGTGCTGGAAGGCGTGGACCGCGCGGGCAAAAGCACCCAGAGCCGGAGGCTGGTGGAAGCCCTGGGGGCGAGGGGCCACCGCGCAGAGCTGCTCCGCTTCCCAGGTAATTGGGGAGGAGGAGGAGCCCCTCGCCTGGAAAATGGCGCCAACTGAATGGGCATCAGCCAGGAGTGCTTCAGTTGTGTAATTCTGGGGTTTGATATTTTAACTGCCAGGGCTCAACGCTATTCGACTCTGGAGTTTGTAGTTTGCTGAGGAACCAGCGCTTGACAACTTCCAGGCTTCACTGAGCCACGTCAGTTTAAAGTGGTGTCAAAATACATTAATGTAGTTAATCATGGAATCATAGAGTTGGAAGAGACCTCATGGGACATCCAGTCCAACCCCCTGCCATTCAAAGCACCCCTGACAGATGGCCATCTAGCCTCTGTTTAAAAACCTCCAAAGAAGGAGCCTCCACCACACTCCGGGGCAGAGAGTTCCACTGCTGAACGGCTCTCACAGTCAGGAAGTTCTTCCTCATGTTCAGATGGAATCTCCTTTCTTGTAGTTTGAAGCCATTGTTCTGCATCCTAGTCTCCAGGGAAGCACAAAACAAGCTTGCTCCCTCCTCCCTGTGGCTTCCCCTCACATATTTATACATGGCTATCATGTCTCCTCTCAGCTTCTCTTCTTCAGGCTAAACATGCCCAACTCTTTAAGCCGCTCCTCATAGGGCTTGTTCTCCAGACCTTGATCATTTTAGTCGCCCTCCTCTGGACACATTCCAGCTTGTCAACATCTCTCATCAATTGTGGTGCCCAGAATTGGACACAATATTCCAGGTGTGGTCTAACCAAGGCGGAATAGAGGGGTAGCATGACTTCCCTAGATCTAGACACTATGCTCCTATTGATGCAGGCCAAAATCCCATTGGCTTTTTTTGCCGCCACATCACATTGTTGGCTCATGTTTAACTTGTTGTCCACGAGGACTCCAAGATCTTTTTCACACGTACTGCTCTCGAGCCAGGCGTCCCCCATTTTGTATCTTTGAATGAAAACTTAATGTCAGGATCCAGGGCTCTAGAGTGTCAAAGCTATTTTACTTGAAACATTAGGCTTGTGTCAAAGCTATTTTACTTGAAACATTAACTCAAATACTTTGGCCGTTTCAAGATCCCAGTTCAAGGCATAAAGATAGCTTACCGCCAAAGAATATAAAGCAAAAACTTATAACAAGGAGCGCACTACAAACTCCAAGAGTCAGTGATAAATGTCCAAGGAGAAAGAGTGTATAACCTAGTCATCTTTCCATGGGTCAAGCCAAAGAAGCCAAATTTCAAAGGATAGTCCAAATACAATAGTCGAGGGGTCAGCCCAGGGATTTGCAGTTCATCAAGATCTACAGCAGGATACAAACGCAATGAGGTTCACCAACACTATAATCTTGGTTCAAGGTTCCACAAGGTACAAGGCTTGCAAAAGTTCGTGATACAGCTCAGGATACCATTAACCACCAATCTGGGGGAAACACCACCAGTATCCATGACAATTGGAATGGCCTTGAACTATGATATTGGATTGCATGGTTTTATTATTTATTTATTTACTTACTTTACTTTACTTGTATACTGCAGTTTCTCAGCCCAACAGGCGACTCAACGTAGTTTACAACAAGGATAAGAATCAAACAACGATATACAATTTAAAACCATAAAAGCATAATATACAATATTAACACAACAATAGACAACGCAATTAATTAATTAATGTTTAATATGCTTTTAGTGGTTGGCTTTTAATGTATAGATTTATATTGTTGGATGTATGTTTGTATGGCATTGAATTGTTGCCTATATATATGTGAGTTGCTCTGAGTCCCCTTTGGGGTGAGAAGGACATGGTACAAATATGATAAATAAATCCATGGCTAAGTATGACAGACACTTCTCTCCCAAAGAGCAGTTTCAATTAGGTTCTTTTTATGCAGCTGATTACAGCTGCATCCACTCTCTTGCAGGCCTCCGCCATTAATTGTTTCTGCAGGTCAGTTCTTACCTACAGATTACTCAGCCCTTTAGAACTTGAAGGAAGATTAACCCCTTCTATGCCTTCTGAAGCATCACCGCCCTACCGGTCATGATTCTGCCAAGCTTTCTGTATACTAACCACCACCAACTGCTAGGTATTCTAACTATCATGACATCTGTCTCGCCCTGTCTCCCCAGAGGGGGCTCAGGGCGGCTTACAACAAATAGAAAGGCAAACATTCAGTGCTGTATAACAATACAAAATAACATAAGTCAAAAGGTAAACCCAATTTATATCTATACAATTAATTCTGCCTTATGGATGTACACAGTGACACCTTTGCTTTCTGACTCTGGGATTCATGCAAACTTTGCCTCCTGCACAGGCATATTGCAGCGTGTAACATGATTTTTATCCCTGGGTTATGAATGTCATTTCCTAATTGGTTCTATCATTAAAAACATGGAAAAAGTTTATTAACTGCAAAAACTTTGTTTTTTGCAAGACATCCTGCATTTTGCTATAGTTTTTCAATTAATATCTCAGAATCTCAATCAATTCAACATAGTTTTAGGGCAGCCACAAAATGAAGTTTTTAGAGTATAACAACTACCTTCAAAGTACATATCGCACAATTATACTGGAAATAACACTTTCGAACAAGGAACAAATTTTGTTACGTAGTGCTATAAATATTTATATTTTTGAAAATATATGATTTGTAGTAACATATCAATCCCGGTCATCTACTTTGAACTGGATTATATGGCAGCGTAGACTCATGTAATCCAATTTGAAGCAGATAATCTGGATCCAGAAACTAGATTATATGGCAGTTCAGATCCAGCCTGATTTACTGACCCTGCTTGACATCCCGAGAAGGGGAAAGGTGTTGGTGTTGGTGTTGTCAGTGGCAAGGAAAGGGTTGTATTTGCATTTGGACAGTTTGGGGTTGAACCATTGACTTCACTGGCTGTTTCTCGCTGAGTTATATAGGTGGAGCTTAAAATTTCCAGAAATGACAAAGACAAAATGTAGGTGGAGAAATGTTTTTCCTTAAACTTCTTTTGGCAAGTTTTTTAGTATACATAACAAGCAGTGCTTCTTTTTTTTTCAATTGTGTACCTTTATTGTAGATGCCCTTTTTAATATATCTAATGATTGTAAAATGACATTCCACTATGTCACAGTGGTTCTTTGTATGAAGGATACTGAGATTTGGCAAAGGTTGACCCACAACCCAATTTTGTAGCCTCTCAGGCCCCTTCTACGTTGCCCTATATCCCAGGATCTGATCCCACATTGTCTGCTTATCCCAGATTATCTGGCAGTGGAGATTCATATAATCCATTTCAAAGCACATAACCTGGGATCAGATCCTGGGATATAAAGACAGTGTAGAAGGTACCTCAAAACTCCCCAGTTGTAAAACATGTGGGGTGGATTTTCATCTCAGACTTATTACTCTTTGAACAGAGGTAGCTTTATTTATTGCATTGCCGTGGTTCCCCAGATTGGTCAAACCAGTGGTCATTTCAGGTTCTGGAAAACAACAGCAGTGTGGCCCACTTTGAATAAATAAACAAAAGTTGACCTCTTGCTTCTCCATAGTTGCCCATCCCTGAGATACATAATTAGATAGAGGAGGGACAAATAGCACTAAACAATTCCGGCATGAAGTGTTACGTTTATAGTAAGATTATGGGTGTTGTGTACATTTGTAGATTTAAGATTGTTTTTCCACTTTCCTCTAAAGACCAAGATGTTTTAGCAAATTCCCTTGTGCTACAGTTTGTGTGTATATCTGCCTTCGCATTGCTGTTTACTTATGGTGAGTCTATGAATTTTTCATGGGTTTTCTTTTGCAAGAAGTAGTCAGAGGTGGTTTTACCACTTCTTTCTTCTGAAATATAGCCTACAGCACCTAGTGTCTATTGGCAGTCACCCATGAAGTACTAACTATTTATTTATTTATTTATTTATTTTTATAACTAAGGATGACTCTGCTTCATGATCAGACAGAATTTGATGCTTTGGTGTATTAAGGTTTACAAATGTGATGTACATCCTAAACAAAAGTTAGGGAAACTGAAAATATTTCTCCCCACTTTTTATTACAGAAAGAACGACAAAAATTGGACAACTGATAAGTTCCTATTTGGAAAAGAAGAACAACTTGGAGGATCACACAGTGCATTTACTGTTTTCTGCTAATCGCTGGGAACAAGTGTAAGAGGAATTTTTGTTGAGTCCTAGAGTACACAAATGGAGCTAGAGCCCCCAATTAACATCTAGTTAGTACTGCTCTTTGGGTTAAGGAAAATTATGGATTTAAGGAACACAATTGAGAATGTTAATCATTTGTCAAAGTAGGGAAAAGATCAAGTAACTGTTTTTCTGTCCCATTGGTAATGTTTGTTGAAGAAAGCAGTCAAGATTCAAGCATATTGTCTACAATTAAGAAAGCCTGCAGAATAGTAACCTAAATCCTGTGCTGTGGAAACAGACTCATGCTCATCCAACAAAAGTACCATTCCCTTCTTTCAGTCTGCTCTGATATTTCCCTGAAACTCTGATCCTGATTTAGAGTTCTGCCAGAAAGTTTACATTTACAGCCTATTTCTAGATCCCATAAATAGGAATTACATTAACGTCACTTTGTTTATTGTTAATTTATATAATCAACTTTGACCTATGACAACCCAGTGAAGGAGAATGGTCTAAGTAGGGCTGTTAATATTACATTGTTTAAACTCAGTGAAAGAAAATCAATACTCTGAAAATAGCTATTGATAACATTTTAACTCAATAAGATGTATGAGGGGTATTTTTTAAGTGAGGTCCGTTTGAACATAAGTACACAACGAAAGTTTATCTCAAAAAAGTAAATTTATTTTCAGAAAGTACATACTTCACTCTATTTTTCAACATAGTTGCCAAGTTTGTTCAAACACTTATCATACCTCTGAACCAATTTTAAAATACCCTCTTCATAAAAACTTGCCGCCTGCTCCGATAACCAAGAGTTCACTGTAATCAAAGAAGGGCGACCGGAGCGGTCCTCATCATGGACGTTGTCACGGCCATCTTTGAATTGTCGTACCCACTTACGCACTTTGCTTTCACTCATAACAGTATCACTGTACACTTCACAAATCTGTCTATGAATTTCTGCAGCAGGCAGGTTCCTTGCTGACAAAAACCGTATCACTGAGCGAACCTCACATGCGGAGGGTGAGTTGATAGTCTTAAACATTTTTAAAGCACAGAACAGAACCGTACAGGTTAGCTACAGAGCGGAAACTGAGCACAGTTGTTCCCGAGGCATGCCGGTACACGACGCACGCGCTCGTTGCGGTATGCGCGCAAACTACTAGTGTCTACAACAAAACGGACCTTACTTAAAAAATACCCCTTGTATAATTATGTATGCTTTCTAGTGATCCCTGGAAAAAAACACGCCTGAATCTACCTAGTGGTATTGGTATACAATGTGTTCATTATAAAACCAGTTTTATGAATCAGTGCATGTTTTAAAATTAATATTTTTCACAATAAAAATACAGCATGGAAATTTTTCCACTTTGCATCCCAGTTTTATTTCAGGTTGTTTACATTTCAGCTTTTGTCTAACAGCGATATCGCTCTCTGTTGTTTAGGCCGTTGATCAAAGAGAAGTTAAACCAGGGTATCACCCTGGTCGTGGACAGATATGCCTTTTCAGGGGTTGCCTTCACAGGTGCTAAAGAGGTAGGTAAAAAGTACTTGTATGAAGACAATATTTATGAGAACTCTACTAAGTCAAAGAAACAGCTTATATTTACTGTGGAAATTACCCACATTGGATTTCCAGTATTATCAGCACTCAAATTTCTGCTTGGCCAAGAAGCTTAAGTGGATGAAAATAGGGCAGGTTTGTGCATCCTTGTCTGAAATGTATCCTTTGTGACTTAGTTTGAGAAATGGACTCGGCTTTTAAAACATTAATAGATTCATTCTGTTGTCGTTTATCCATGGTGATAGCAATAGTCTTTGTAATCTTTTAAAATGGGTATTATCAAATTTATACACATGCAGAAATGCTATTAAAATTGTGATGATTTATCTGAGGTCTCTAATGGAACCAACTTCAAAATTAAGCATATCATCAGCATAATCTATTTGTTTACCAAAGGTTGGGTTACATTTTAGTCACCCTCAGACGAGACCAGCCAAAATATAAGTCCCATATTTGTGATAATTGGCTACAGTTGTTTCCTCCTTTCCCTGAGGTCTGCTGTACATTTCACTGAGTCCACATCCAGTGCAAAGTCTGCACATTTACAATGCATAGCAATGCATAATTATTAATATGAAAGGTATTAGATCAGTGCAGAATGAGTTATAACACATTGTTGGCTAGGAATACAGTTTTATGTACAGATCAAAACTATCAAATTGTATGAAATCACTTTAGTACATGGCCTGAAAAATTGTGTTTTAGACATCATAGACAAAACCAAGTTAAATGGACCTGTTGTATGTTCTGACTTTCTGTATTCCTATCAAAATGCTCATTGGCTTGATTTTTCTATTTAACACATCTCTCATTTATTTTCTTTTTTCCTTTTTCTTTTGTAGAACTTCTCTTTAGAATGGTGTAAACAACCTGATGTGGGGCTTCCAAAACCAGATGTGATCCTTTTTCTTCAACTGAATACATCTGAAGCAGCCAAACGAGGAGACTTTGGAACTGAGCGATATGAGAACAGCTCTTTTCAAGAGAAAGTTCTGCAGTGCTACTATGATTTGATGGAAGACAAGACTTTGAACTGGAAGGTAAGAAGAAAAGAACCTAGCTGTACTTCCTTTTTTTATATTCTAAAACTTTGTTTTTTTCCTCTGCTTCTAACATGGTTGCTTTGTTCTTGGACACAGGTAATAGATGCTTCAAAGACCATAGAAGATTTACATAATGAAATTAAATCAATTGCAGAAGAGGCCATGCAAGAAGCTCAGCATAAACCTATAGGAGAACTGTGGAAATAGAATTGGTTTATATTTGTATCTACTTGAAGCTGAACTGTTCATCTTCAAGCATCTCAATGTTTATATCTACAACCTTTTTAAACAGACGAAATAGGATTTCTTAGTTTTACTATTTATCTTAAAACTCTTCTATAGACTGTTGTCCTTTAAAAGAGAAGAGTCTGATCTTCCCTTAGAAGCTGCTTTGTAGGGACTTGTACTCGACCAGGAGCATAAAAGAAGTGTAACGATAAGATTTATTCTACTCACAGACACTGTATAATGGTTGTTGATTGTGGACTATTTTTACAAAGTTATATCTGTGTCTTTCCTCAGTTCCACAGCATATGATGTTCATGTTTAGATAATCATGTGTCAGATTTGATATGCTGAGTTTGTTTGAGCCATGCAGTTTAATGACTTTGCAAACTGACATGCCTTACCAAACCGTTACTCTTCAGTAATGGCTTTGGAACAAGCCAGAATATTCAGCCATGGTTTAAAGATAGCTTAATATATTAACTTGCTTTGAAGTTGTTTAATCAGTTCAAATGAAATAGAAAACTACACCTGAAGATTTGCTGATTTATGCAAAATGGCTTCTGCAGTCTAAAAGATTTATGGCTCTCATAAAGCTGAGTCACTGTCAGTTAGAAATCTTTTTTAAAAAAAAAAATGTATTAGAAACCACCTAAGAGATTACAACATATATTTTAAATTAAAATTTATATTTTTAGTTTCTGAAAATACATTTGAGTAAATATCCTGCAGGGTTTTTTTACTTCCAAAGTATTGACAATTCTAGAGCATTATTCATTTTTTCATGTCTTCATATGCTTGAGAAATGAGTTGTCTGCTCCTTTTCTGTATTTTGCCATGTTTTTTTAATCCGTTTGTGGTTCTATAATAGAAGAATGCAATTTACTTTCTATCAGATTTTATTTTATTGGGGGGGGGGGGGGGCAAAGTAGAAGACCATAACTCCTATACTGGCTGGATCTCAATGAACCTTGCCTTCTAAAGCATCTGGAGGGTGCCAAATTGTCTGCCTTGTTCTAGAGCTTCAGTCTATTTATTTTGAAGAAATCAATAGTTTGTGTTTAACAGCAATCTCTTCATATTGCAAGACATAATTTAAGTAATTTTCCAGACTTTATTATCTTTGTATATATAAAGGAAGTGATCTTGCTCCAGTTACTGTCTAGACTTTTTCATTTAATTGCAATGGCTGCCTCTTGATGTGTCCCCTTCCTAATCTGGTATTCTTTAAGGCGCCTGAAACTTCTAGCTGCATGTTTCATCTTCCATATAATCTTCCCAATTATGAGGAATCTACTCTTTTAAAAAAAGACTATGTTGGGCTCCAGGGCATTAGATAGCATTTTTATACTCTTATCAACACTATTATGTAAGTCATGGTGGCCATGTTTCTGTAGTTTGAAGTAACACAGAGTGTTCTGGGTAAAAAACAGTACTATCCATTCTGATTTAGCAGTTAGAATGGGCAAAATTGAGAACAGTAAAGAAGTAAGAAAGTATGAAACTGTCCAAATGGTTCTGTAGGTAAAAGCAGAAATAATTGCTGTAGAACAAATATTGGACCAATAGTATAGTTTTACACTGCGGTACCTGATATTGAGACTTAAGAAAGATCTTAAGTAGCAGGGCTTGGGAAGGTGGGTTCCACCAGTAGCTATTACTAGGTTAGATGGCCAATGGACAGATTTCATATGACAGTTTTATTCATTCACCAATTATCTGTTCTGTTTGACCAGTGCATGTTAAGGTGGTGGAGGGATAATTTGGTCCATTTTATGAGTAGAATCATGTGTATTAAAAGTGCTCAGAGGAGGATGACAAAGTCCAGTGTGTTTTGTCTCAGGAATAGGGATGTGTGCCTTGAAATCCCAGCTGCAACTTCTCAGAGCTTGAGCAAGCAGCCTGAGTAAGGCTTCCTTCAGTACAGACAGCTTTTTGTACATATATGGATCCCAGTTGTGCTTCCCAAGGTTTACCGTTGAGTGGCTAGCTGTAAGTACAGGGGTTTCCTCAACAGCAGCTTATACAGAGAAGCTGCACACCAAAAACATTGTTTCCTTTCCCTCCTCTGAATCCTTTAACAAATCTTTCATCGGGGGAGAATACTAGAAAACAAAATGAAAATAGGACTAAAGCTATTTGGCAGCAAGAAAGACCCTGCTCTTGTCGTTGAGAAGCCAAGAATAGATTTAGAAAGAATTGTGAAAAACTAACCGTAACCATCTTGCTTTTCTGTCAGGTTTATACTGATTGAAAATTATATTTCTGACTCATTTTAAAGCTAGACTGAGATGTGTTACTGCAGAAATCAAGACTAGAAGTCCAGTTTCTCTTTTTAATTGGTTTTATTCATATACAAATTGAAAGCAATGGATGGAGCACAGCCCCACTTCTTCTATCTCCTCTCCCTCAAAAGGTCTACAATCAAGAGGAGAAGCAGCAGAGAAAAACAGCAAGTTATTACAATGAAAGATAAGCATCATGGTTCAGACGTTCTGTTTTCTGGCTGTTTTAGGGACAACCAGACCTACAACCTACTCTTTGTAGGATAGTTACTCTTCTATGCAGTAATTTTACAGATGATTGTACTACCACTTTTTAGGCTGAGAATGCTGCTGATAAGTGATAATACAGAAAAGAATGCTTTGTAAACATATTTGCCACCTGCAGCATCCATCAATGGTGCCAAAGATTTGCAAAAAGATAGATAACACTGGGGTGAAGTGGTGGATCCTTTCCAGCCATTTCCACCTCTTCTACACAAAGGAATTCTGTTATTTTGGAGTATAGCCACCATGTTTTGCAGCCTAGGTAATCCACTAATTAACCTTTCTTGGCAGCCAGTCTGATGTGTGCTCCTTTAGAGCCTCTTATTAAAAACAATTGAACTGAAAAATGAATAAGCAAACATCACATAACAGAAGCATAGCTTTGTGTGATGAACTAAAGGGTATTCTTCCTGGCATTTTAGCAAGCCAGGATATTAAAATAGTAAGTTTTGTGTTAAAGCAAAACTAGCTTCAGATTTCATGATCAAAGTCTAAATGCAGAGAAATGACATAAAAGGGCGGATTAAGATACTTTCAGTTCAAGCAAGCTGGCAGGTTTCATATGCCAGCAGCATCATATATTAAATAGCAGCCACCATATTCGTAATATGGATTAGAAAAATAACCAACAAATAAAGACTAACAAAGTCAAGCCCTGGCTAACCTTTCCTTTCATCCTAATGCAACTGCTGCTGAACTCTTCAGTGGGAACATCATCTAGTTCTAACTGTTGAAAGCTTGTCAGATTCATACTGTCCTGTGCAGTTACATTTGTGGTGCATGATGTGCTACTGCAATTTCTTCAATGACACAACAGAGCAGACGTGAGTGTTCTTAAAAGACAATTTTGTAACTCAAGAGGAGTAACGTGTGTGGAAGCGCTATCATGGGAGATGACCTAAAGCACGTATACCAATCTGTATTGTATTCCAACTTGTTGGAGCTTGTATCCCAAGGTGACACTTGACATACACTGGGCTAAAGAGACAACTATTAGATAGATGCCTGCCTTATTTTATGGTGCTTTCCACTCCAAACTATTTGGGGGAGGGGAGGGGTGTTGCAGGGAAACAAGATTAAGTTCTCCCTAACAGATACATTGTAAGACCCAAGCACCTTAAAGGGCTTTTACTATTTTTTTCTGAGCCTTTGGGCCACTAACATAAAAAAAATAATCTTCAGCTCATAGGAACACGGCATCCCTTTCCTGCAGGTACTCTTATGCTGAAAAAGCCTGACTAAAGCTATTAAGGCCTTAATGATGACCTGTTTCTTGATCCCGCTGCAGAAAATCTACTCTGCTCCAGGGCTGCACTGAACACAGTTGGATGGGAGGCAGGGATGTCAACAAGCACCTATGTAAGCTGGTGGGGAGCCCCAGGCTCTCCGAAAAGCTCCCCTCCCGCCACAACACACATCGGCAGAGTTGGCTTCTTATGTGTCTCTTAAAGAGATAGGATTTCAAAATCTTCATCTTCTGAATCAAAGAATCTTTCCAGCCTGTCAGCATCAGAAGAGTCTGCAAGACAAAAAAAGTAACACCATTGATTTAAACGGGCCTATTCTGACAAGCTCATACACTAATCCTATCAATAACAGTTTAGCATTCACACAAGTAAGACCTTTCATTTTCACTGAAGAATATGCTCATATTTTCCAGAAATATAACTGAAGTTAACAATTTACTGGGGCATTAAACACCCAGTGACGTATTGAGCTGACATGTTAACACAAACACTGGAAAAAAGCAACAACAAAAAGCTTGCTATCACATTAGTAACACATTTGAAGTAACAAAAACTTAAGTAACACAAATGACATACTATTGCTCTACTCCAGGCATCTTCAAACTGCAGCCCTCCAGTTGTTTGGACCTCCAATTCCCAGAAGCCCTAGCCAGCTTGTTCCATGGTCAGGAATTTTGGGAGTTGGAGGTCAAAACAGCTGGAGGGACGCTGTTTGAGGATGCCTGCTCTACTCTATAAAAATTTGCAAATTACCTGGAGTGAGATTCAAAACATCAGGGCTAGAGAAATGTGAAGGCTGATGTTCTACTAGTTCAAACATTGGCAGGGCTCCTCTAATTAATGACAACTGTAGAAAAAATGTAATTAAGAATGAGTCTCCTTCGGGAGAGATAAAGCAGGGTATAAACAAACATAATAATAATTAGCGAAATATTTCATAATAAAGATGCTTAGTATAGCTTGTTAATGCATCTTTACTATTACGTCCCACGCAAATATAGATAGCCTTCAAATAGATATCGTTCAATTCAGTAGTAGACAGTAGCTGCAAAATTCAACTTGCTTGGGATATGATTGGGGATGAATATTTAGTGGCATTTCTTTTTTTAAACACTAGCTCTTAAGATTGCAAACACGTGTGAACATGCATTGATTGAGAAAATGAGAGATCAGATGAGTTGCTATGTAAGTTTTAGAGACTCCCTGAGCAAAAATTAAGAAAAATATGCCCATTTATTTAAGCACTGGATAGGATACAGACAGTTCTGCTTATGGAATGTGAACAAGTGAGATGAGAAGCAATGCATCCAAGTGTTTATGACTGGATAAATAGAAAGAACAATTTATAATATTTGAGCTTCCAGATTCACATTTGTTTTCCTTCTTGGTTTGTTTACCTGTCTAGGGTAGTTCTACATGTTTTTTTATGCACTTCGAGGATTTTCTGCAGTATTTTTTTGACAAAAATACCACAAAAGTTATGCTGATTTCTTGTGTAAACAATAGGTGTAAGGGATTTGCAGGACTGATACGGGGAGACATCATGAGCAGCAGAGGTCAGGCCCAGGGGCTGTACTTGGCCCATCCCTGCAATAAATAGAGCTGGTCTGAGTCCCTCTACGGAGGTAGAGAAGATTGGGATATAAAAGTTTTAAATAAATAATAATAATAAAAGCATGACCTATTTGGATATTTATACAACAACTCAAAAGAATACCTATAATTTTGTCAGCTTATTAGGAGTCAGCAACTATACCCAGCAACTATAAAACAATCTGTTTAGATTTGCTTGCAGGTGGCCCACTGGGTAAGCCAGATGTGTCAGGCCAAGATCATATTCAAAATCTCATGTTTTCAATAGTCCAAATCCCAATGAAAGTTTGACAACCACTTAAATTAAAAGGACACAGTGGTCACGAAACATTTCTATTTCACTAATTTCACTGAGACTTTCATTGTAACTAGCTCTCTTTGAATGTGAGGTAATATTCGTTCTGCTGTTTTATGTTTATGTTCATTGTTACCTTTCTTTTGTGTGTGCTAATATTTTAAGAATGTGTACATTAAAGCTGGTCACATACAAGTTTACTTAAAGGTAGAGTGAAATTTACTTGGGTAAGGCTTGTTTCATGTACAAGATTGCAGTCTTAAATGCTGGAGGTAGGTTAGAAACATTTTACATAAAATGTTTTAATCTAAGAGCATCTCATCATAGAAAGCAGAAGTGAGACGTGGTAAAAGACATTTCTTTGACAGTAATATATCCTACATCAAAGACTAATTGTCTGGCTAGCATGAAAAGTCTTGGTCTCAAACAAGTCAAGTTAGCGTGATAGTGGCAACACAACTGTTGACATTAATAGTTTTCAAAGCCCAACGCAATTGTACACTGTTGACAAAAGCTTCTGATTACATTACTGATGAACAATTGGTTATCACCAGAGGCACTCCAAGTGGCCAGATACTGGTCAAAGGACATTTAACCAACTACCAAGTTTGCAAAATCTGTGTTTTTTTTTCCTTTTTTTTCTTTTTCTTTTTAATCTGTGTGTTTGTTTTGTTCTGTTAGAATTGTAACATAATGGTATGGTTGCTGATGACACGATAAATATATAAATATAATTGGTTATCTACAAACCTTTTTTATTCGTTGACACCAGTCATTGAAGTCTTCCTCATTGTTGCAAAAGAAGCCCTGTAAAAGAAAGGCAATAATCTGTACATAGAATAAATACTGAAGATGCTTAGATATGAGCATGCCTTGTGTTTTAAAAGTGAACACATTTCGGACAGCCTCACAGCAGTATATGCTGTTTACAGCAGGCATAGGCAAACTTTGGCCCTCCAAGTGTTTTAGACTTCAACTTCCACATTTCCTAAGAGTCTACCAGCTGTTAGGAATTGTGGGAGTTGAAGTCCAAAACACCTGGAGGACTAAAGTTTGCCCATGCTTGGTCTAGAGAGTTAGATAAAGAAGAAAGAGCCTAACATTACGGAGGGAGAAAAACAGGCTAGAAGTAAAGAAATGTCTAAAAGGCTATCTGGGAATTTAGTCCAAAGCAAGAACAGGACTGGCCTGCAGGCCCAGACTCACCACTGCAATGGAAGGATCAAGCTCTGCAATGCTCATTCTGCAGGGCGGATGCTGGCAGTGGAAACTCTCATCAGGGATGTAACAACTGTCCATGGGCTCCACTGCAGGTTGAGTGGTGTGTGGGTCGAGATAGATTAGCTCTTCACCTGGACAAAAATAGAGAAGAAGTTACAGAAGGCAACAGAATACTGAACTTCTTATAGCAAACATGGGCAAACTTCCACCTTCCAGGTGTTTTGGACTTCAAAGGAAAGAGTGCCCACAGTCATTTGATAAAAGAGTTGCCTGATCCCATTGAGCAAGTGACTCTAAACCAGTAGTTCTCAACCCGTGGGACCCCAGATGTTTTGGCCTTCAACTTCTAGGAATCTTAACAGCTGGTAAACTGGCTGGGATTTCTGGGAGTTGTAGGCCAAAACACCTGGGGACCCACAGGTTGGGAACCACTGCTCTAAACCTTCCTTCAGGTCTTCTCACTTGATCCAATACACTTGGGGAAATGGATAGTGGAGTTTAGTCCATTGATAGGTGTGGCTCATAATATTTGCATGCACAGTGCTTGAACACAGCTGATGAGCCTGTTGTTTTAGAGAGGATTATGATCAGAAGTGCTATTCCCCATATTTGTCCACCACAACCTTCTCCTCCTGCAAAAATGTATCTCATGAAGCTATTATCTTGTTATCAACTGGTAGCACCATTAGATCGCACTATCTAGTTTTTAAGTTATTTTCTTATGACACAAATCCAACCAGTGATGCTGCATTTGCTCTGCAGTGTATGAAGGAGTCAGTGTATGAGGGAGTTGAAATCCAAAACACCTGGAGGGCTGAAGTTTATCGATGCCTGCCTTATAGGGAGACTGCAGAGTACATGGATAGTGATGGATGAATTATAATCTTCCAGGGTGTTTCCCCTTTTTTGTTTTAAAAATAATATTTATTATACAGCCCAACAACAAAACATTTTCTTGGTGTCTTGGTTTTTTAGGCCTGTTTCTGGGATTATTTAGAGCATTGATTCAGAGAATGGCATTGGATAGACCACATCAACTCTAGATCATTAGATATAGTTAGCATGGTTGGGTGAGTAGGAGGCGACTGGTAGATGGCATATGTTCTGTATCTCAAAAACTACAGCTGATATGGAAAAAAACCTGTGTCATTTTTGGAAGCTTCACAAACAGGGCTACAATTTGGGGCACTAAAATATGTATGTTGGCCAGTGTAATTATTGCTTTGATGCTTGGATATAATAATGTCTTGTGTGTGTTTTATTTAGTGAAGAGGTTCTCTTCAATAAATAGAAGATTTATTATCTCTTCACATTTAGAAGATTTTGCTGACATATGCACTAAATGTCTTGCATTTCCCTCTGAGACCAATAAGACATGGCTGGTATCTAATAGTCAAGGTATATAAAAGAAACATTTACTACTCGCTTTGAAACATCCTGAAGAAGGACATGACAAAGTTTCAGTTGAGGAAGAACTTAGGAGAACCGGATTCCATCATCTTGGGGGAAAAGACAGCAATGAGAGAACAGTCTCAACATGACCTTCGGCCTCTGAGAGTTTATAGAGTCAGATGGTTGGTTTGCCTAGAATTGATGACCATGCATAAAAATCTATAGTTGAGCCACTGGGGAATGCTTCAGAGATACTGGAAATAGGAAAGAGGCAGGCAGAAAAGTCTTATACTGCCTACAGTCCCCTGTTCAAACTGCAATAGAAGAGAGGATGTCAAGAGCATGTGTGGTAGAGTAGTATTCTCCAACAATTACACCTGTCAGATCAGAACTGGAAAAATTCCATGTTACATCATTTCTTCATTATTTTCATTTTCTCTTTTTGCAGGAAAAAACTTGTTCATAGGAGGAGAACAGCATAATATTTTTTAAAATACTCCTGAAATCATAAGAGTTATCACAAGGGCCATCCAGTCCATCCCCTGCCATAACAGGTTACACTAATAAAGCAGCTTTTTTCCTTTTCATTGGCTTTCTTTGTAAATATGCATTCCTTACACCATCATTACACAAAATCTTAAGTAATTGCAGGTACCTATGGTACTTGTAGTTATCACACATTGCTATAACACATTGAAGTCCCAGTTAACATGGTTAATGGTCAAGAATTATGGGAGGTGAAGTCCAAAACACCTGAAGAGGGTCAGGTAAGAGGAGGTTGTTTATGATGCTCACATTCAAACATTATTAATGGCATTCAGTGTTTATTTCAGGCATGGGCAAACTTCGGCCCTATTGGCTGTGAAGGATTGTGGGAATTGAAGTCCAAAACACCTGCAGGGCTAAATTTTGCCCATGCCTGGTATATCTGCTGGGGATGACTGTTACTCACCTACATATCCAATGAAATAATGAGCACTATTAGGTTTTCCTCCAATGACTCCTAAAGACTGAGGCATCATAAAACAATGCTGAAAAAGAATAGACACACAATGTGTCACATAGCAACCGGCACAAAATGGAACCTTCATTCAATTAAAGAACAACATATTGTTAGGAAAATGTGGCTACATGCCAGTGTGCTGCATATCCAAGAATAGCTACAGCCCCTATTTTTAGGATCAAAGCCTTGTTATAAGGGGAGAGCAGTGCACAATGTTTACAGGAAGTAAGAAAGATTTCAAAGTAGCCACTAACAGATGAGAGGTGATTGGCAAATATTGACAATGACAACAGTCTCCAGGGATATTTATTCAAAAGTAAGTCCTACTGTTTTGAAAGGACATAACTTTCAGGTAAAATATGTACAAGATGATGGCCTTGATCGTTTTATAGGATTTGCAAAATAGCACCAGGATTGCCAAAGGGAACGGCAAGCACCTAATTATTAATTATGTTTAATGCAATTCGATATAATCAAATGGATGATAAACACAGAAGGTCACAGCTAGTTTTAGGAATTCCCTTTATGCCGTTTGAGCCATTCATTCTACAAAATGCATGCTGGTTTCACATACACAGTCCCTACATATGTGATCATTTTAATACCTTCAGCTGATCACCATGTGATCTATGCATTTCAGATACATGGGGCCTTAATAATTAGGCTTAGAATGCTTCTTTAAGTAAATAGATAATGAAAATACAAGGGCCTAGCTAACAATGAACTAGATTTAATAAGGAAATGTATTAATATCGCACATACAGAGTACTAGAATCATAGAATTGGAAGGAACCACACAGGACATCCAGTCCAACCCCATGCTGCTGTGCAGGAAAAGCACCATCAAAGCCATACAGCCTCTATTTAAAAGACTCAAAAGGAGGAGCTTCCACCACAGCTCTGTTGAACAGCTCTTCTAGACAGTTTTGACTGCATATTTAATTCAAAATATAACTTCCTACCTTCAGTGTTTCAATATAGGCTTCGTTGATATCTGTGAGCCCAAGGCGAAGTGGTATCAGCAGCACTAAAGGTTTCCAGAGCAATAGCCTGTCTGTACATTCTGCTCCCTCTGGATACCCATTGGAAAGGAAGTCTGGCTCTGCAGCAGGAAATGCTGAAGCTCCAGGACATGGACAGCTGGGTTTACACAACCTCCCTATACAGAGAAAAGGCAGACATATAAAAGCCTCAGCACAACAACTTCACCCAAAATCTCGCTTTGCTGCACAGCTCCCGGAGTGCTGAAAACAGGAACTGACCATGAAGATCCTATGTCCCCATGACACATATTCCCCTACTTGTTCACGCTTTGACCACCTCTCAACATTCTTTATAGCAGGGAAGGGCAAACTTCAGGCCTCCAGGTGTTTTGGACTTCAGAACCCACAGTGCCTAACAGCCGCTTTAGGAATTGTAGGAACTGAAGTCCAAAACACCTGGAGGGCCGAGGTTTGCCCATGCCTGACCCAAAATGTTAAGGGTCAGTTAACAAAATGTTCCTGGCTTTCACTTCTTTAAAAGATGTTTTGGTACCAGAAGTAGAAACAACATGGGAAAAAAAATAGGAAGAGGTTCATAAAGTGCAAGGAAGAGCAGTTCACTTTTTAACCAAAATTAAGCATTCTACACACCTAAAATGAAAAAACTAGGTCATGCAAGGCTTACATAATTAATTAACTATCCAGAAATGTATGTTATTGTTGTGGCAAGATGCTAATGTTTCAAAGTCTAGAGTAGGCATGGGCAAACTTCGGCCCTCCAAGTGTTTTGGACTTAAAATCCCACAATTCCTAGAGGTAGAATTTTCCAGATTTGGTACATGAGTTTGTTGCTTCTACCACCACAAAGTTGCAAAGATGAAGAAAAAAAACCTTGCATTCCCTTTGTCACATATACTAAAAGCACCTTGCTGGATGTGGAAATATTACATTTAGAACTCTTATCCAAACAAACAGCACACCTCCGTGCTAATTCCGTTTTAATAACCTACTTCTAACTATGTCTAACCAACGTGACCCAGTGAAGGAAGTATCCTTGCCTAGGAGTTCTCTATTTCACAGTCCAGTTTAGTCGTACCTTATAACCTAAGATTTACAAGTTAACTGTATTCATATGTTTTATAAATTACTTGTCACAGGTAAGAGGAATGCCACACACACACTCCAGTTTTATTCTGTTCAGCAGAGCAGTTTTCTATGAAGCACATCCCCACAGTATAATAGAAACTCACTTATCTCCTCCATCACAACAGTATTGTCCATGGCTATGTGCACTGCCAAGGAGCTCCATGTATCAAAACTGGCAAGTTTTCTAGGAGACAAAGGAAGAAAAAGCATTAGTAGCAAAAAACAGAGTGTGAGACTGACCCTCAAACCCTTCCTTGCACATAGTTGGCCTAATGAAATTACCTTGTGGCTAATGCAGCTTCATTTCCTTCTCCAAACCCATATTGTCATTACAATTTAAACATCCAGCTGCCATTACTCTAAGGTACAATTGTGAAGTGATGAAAATTCCAAAAAAACCAACTTACTGTCATCTAATTAACAGATAGCATTAGACATGATGATGTAAGCCAGATTCCATTTTTTCTGTGTTTGTAAATAAATGTTGTCAAAATTTGAAGAAGAAAAAACCCATAGTACAACATCAAGGACTTAAAATTTGTATGAGGTCTCCAGGTCTGCACAGGTAAGAATGTAGCTGTTTATTACAACACTAGATACAACTAGAACTCTTGACTCTGAAATCAGTGGAACTCTCTACCCCGAAGTTTGGTGGAGGCTCCTTCTATGGGAGCTTTTAAACAGAGGCTGGGTGGCCATTTGTTGGGGGTGCTTTGAATGCGATTTTCCTGCTTCTTGGCAGGGGGTTGGACTGGATGGCCCACGAGGTCTCTTCCAACTCTATGATTCTATAATTGCAGCACCTCAAGGCTTAGTTTTCATATTATTTTCATGAACTGATATTTGAGCATAACACATAAGAAATGTTCCTAACATAGTATTACATAATTATATAATAATAAACCCACTTAAGAGTCTGATGTCAGAAATGGTCTGCTTGTCTCCCAGAAGTCAGGAAATAAAAATGTCTACACAATGTTCAAAGCTTTCTCCTCAGCACAAAGATGGACCTCAGCTTCATTTATCCCTTTCACTAGAATATCCCTTTCACTGAGAGGATGATGCTGACCTAAAATAAAACAGATTGTATATAGTAGGGCCAGTCCGGGAAATGTGTTTTAAATCAATTAACTAAAATCTCTAATTCCTGGATATAATGATGGATCAATTATATTGTGATATAGGCTCTATCTGACAACTATGCTGAAGATAATAGTCACATAGTCAATTTCGTGGCATTTTCATTTACTATTTAATTTAAGGATTAAATCCAATTGTTAGCAACTATTGATATGGGCCTGATGATTGAATGGGAACTTGGGACCATACTTAATTTTAGTGCATTTATGCTATTTTCTACAGCTGATTTTGTTCTGTTTTGGTTTTTAATAATTAGCATTATTATCTATCAGGCCAGCTTCCACATCTTTAAAAAGAATATGGTAGGAATATGACATTTTAACCACAAAGGACTCAAATGGTAAGAAGCATGTTTCTATAGATATTTTGCTGGCCATCACTAGAACACAATCTTATACTAGATGGGTCTTTAATCTTCCTATATTTAAAAAATGTGCAAATATTTCAATTACTTGTATTTCAGCTTAGTTACAGGAAATTCATGGGACTAAAAATTTTACAGAAATAGTTACTGAAAAAGCAATCAAGTTTCTAAAAAAAAATACATATTATGATTCCAATTTTATCTTGTGAGCCACAGAGAGAACTTGTCACGATGTGTTATAAAATAATGACAGTAACTAAGCATTTAGACAGATTGTACAAGTTTGATTTCAATTTCTGCGATGCAAAACAGACATGCTGATTATCTAGACCTAGATTTATCTGACATCCCTACAGTACAAGGCCCAAGAATGGAACTATTTCCTTAGGAACTATTCCCAAGGAAATAATGTTCCCAAGGCTTAACTTGATAAGAACAACTGAAACGCCCTTCAATTTTAAGGTGATTATTATTCAGAAGAAAAATTAAAAAGAAGCCCTGATCAATCTGATTTTCTTGGAATAGTCACCAAACTGTGGAAATCAGCACAGATAGTTTATAATAATTCTGTGGACTAAACATGTCCATGATATATGGAACCACTGTGAACTTACCTGAGTACTTGTGCAACTGTATTTGGTCCATACCACTGGCCTATGGATTTCCCCTCTCCAACTCCCATCTGGGCTGCAAAAAGCAAATTGTTCCATAATATCACCCAATAATTATTCCATCCATTAAAGATTCTTAACCAAAGTAACAAAATGTGAGGTTTCCTATAATTCTGCAGACAAAGACTCATTAAAAATAATTATAACATGTTTCAGAGACCAAATACCTCTTTACTTGGAAAAGAAAGCACATTAGAAATAAATGTCAACCATTTTGTTAAGAAAAAAATGTATATTGTTGCACCCTAGGCCTGGATCCACCTATGACCACAGCACTACACTAGAGTCCACAGTATAAGCAAACAGATAGATAGATAGATGATAGATGATAGATAGATAGATAGATAGATAGATAGATAGATAGATAGATATGAGAGAGAGAGAGAGAGAGAGAAGCAGGGATTAAGAAAGGAGAGGGATAATAAAAAAAAAAGGTTTAGCAATAGGTGATAGGCACACAGAAATCGAAATGTCTCATCAACATCCAAAGGTAACACAGTCCAGGAATAGCCAAAAGTCACAAGTACAGAATAAATCCATAAACAAAAGGTATACTTAGAAAAACTTGAACAAGAATCGTAAAACAATAATATAGAAAACTTCCGGGATACTTGAATCCAAAACCAGGACTTGACTTGACACAAGAACTCAGGTCTAGCTTCTCACTCGAAAGCCAAAGTTGCCTGAACTAACTATAAGGTAAACAATTGGCTGTTAATAAGCACTCATGAAATCATGTTGTTTCCCACTAATTTTCTCTATCTCTTTCCCATGTACTCTCTCAGACCTATGGAGCCAATTCTCTGCTCTGAACTGTAAACGAGGACTTTGCTTATCTCCATAACACCAGATGCTTTCTCTTAAGAGTTTTCCATTTCACGTAATTCTTCTTCACTAGACCCCTTAATCTAATGATTTTGTTTCTGGCTCCTGTGATAGACCTTGGAACTTGGCACTGTCTGAGCCAGTTTCATCTCCCTGGCCTGAATCTTCAACACTTTGAACTTGGCCTGAATCTGTGTCACTTTGAACCCCAGGAAATTCCACAATCCCTTTTGTATCATCACTGAACCTGGCTGAGGCTGAGCTACAACACATATATTGAAGAAAATATATGAAAAATGTAGAATAAATATACTCTGTAAGGGAAATGTGATTGTATCATGGGAAGCACAAGCAAAGGAGTTGCCATGTGAATATGTCATTGTTCTTTGATGTTTTAATGGAAACATTCTTTGATGTCAGATGACAACTGACTTTCAAGATGCACATAAGGAACAAATACTTGTCACTAAACAAAATGTCTTCTGGGTGAGAGGAAAAGCTTGGGAAGAAAAGCTGGAGAAGAAAAGAACTGAGCTAGCTGAGGAAGCTACTTGATTGAAACTAGACAATATCAGATGCTCGGAAGAAATAATTCATATCCAAATACAGTCCATATTTTTCATATTGAAACAGGGGTCTCTTTGAAAAATAAAATCAGAAGACTGCATTCTGATATGGACTACAATATTAAAGGAATATGAAAGCTGAGATACTGGAAGGAACATGATGCAAGTAAAAATCTTACCTATTTGGTGAATTGAGTAGTAGCTGTCTTTTTTGTCAATGAAGGCATTAAGGACATTGTAATAGCTGTCTGTTTGTTTCTTCCCTTTCGACCACCTCCAATCTAGAACACCAAAGGAAATGCTTTATATCAATAGTCCCAACTCAGCATATTATTTCTTTTCCTCTTAGTGCTCACAGTTAATTGATGGAAGACTACAAAAGCCACGGGTTTCAAAATTATGGTTTGCTATCTAAATATACAAAGGAAAAGGGCAAGTCAATACAACCTCAAACTATTCATGAAGACTACTTCACCAGAAAAGAAGTTATATTTTCCAGATATATTTTCTTCCAATGAAGTTTAGGTCATGAAAAACACCTAAAATCTTTTTAAGACACACTAACCAAGTGCCTTCTTGCCCTACTCTCATGTATCACTCTCCATTCCCACTGCAATTTCCAATTAAATATCCACGGCCATCCTTCCAGCTCAACTATCACTGCTGTGTCCTCAGAGAAAAAGAAGAGGTAGAATCTGCTTGAATTAATCCCTTATCATACTGTCATCCCCTTTTCTTACTGATATCTTAGATTGTACGCCCAAGGGCAGGAAATGTTTCTTTTACTTGTAATGTGCTATGTACAGTGGTGGCACAATATTAATAAATAATAATAATAATAATAATAATCCAGACTGGAGTATTTTCCGTTGGGCTTACTTAATCACACAACTATTCGCAACTAAAATATTTTTGACAGGCCTCAAACTGTCTGTACAAACAAGTGCATCAAGCTCTTTCACCATTGTTAGGACAGGCATTTGACATACCTCTGCCTAAGTGTCTGCAGATCAAGGCCTGCGCAAAGATCATCTGGCCGCACCTTAACATGCAGCCCCAACCAGTGTCAGAGGTAGGGCCTGTTCCCCCTGTAGACATAATGAAAACAGAGTAAGCCAAGCTTTTAGCACATGTGTCAAAAACAGTTTAAGTCAAAAAGAATACTGCGGTATACCTTGACTAGGATGATGAAAAGGCAAGTAAGAGTTGCAACCATATGCAAATTAATCTCGGATTAAGCCATATTAAACACTTGATCCCATATAAACACATACAGGATTACATTCGCATCACACTGAGCCGGGCTTATGTATTTTTCCAGAAGGAAAAATAAAAGGAATAGAGAATTAAATTAAACATCAGATGTAAGCAAAGTGTAGCCTTGAAGAATTTCCACATCCAGGATTCCTCACCACAAGCTGTGTTGTGCCAGTGATGGGAATGGCTGATGGGAGCGCCAGTGAAATATCCTCTGGAGGCATGCACTTTTCCTATCCATAATGTACATAAATATATTTATATAATATTTGTAATTAACACAGCCAAGTATGCTGAGAAAATAACTATACATGTTCAAAATGAATTCAGGGGCCACAACAAAAAAACCTTGAATGCTATTTCCAGATATTTAAGCTTACACAATCCAATTCAAACCATATAATCTTGAGCTATAAGACAACAAATGCAAAATTTGAACATTTAGAGTCTTAACTTAGGAAAAGAACACATGTTTATCATGTAAATAACATGTAAACAGAGGGATTTCACTTTCTAGGGAAAAAACCCCTGTTATCAGCATGATCACTTTGACTTCCATGGCTATTTGGAAATTGTGTGCAAGATGGGAGGGGTTATCTTTAAGTTACTCTTGAATCCTGACAGCCCCATTTGTGGGAAAGTAACCATGATGCTTCCCCCACCACACAACTCAAATCACTATCAGTGTCCCCCTCCATATTATTTTCTTTATTTTTAATTCACAAGCTGTTATTCACAAGCTTGGCATCATCCGGTGCAATTATGCTGACATGGGATCTTGGCTTTTGTATTCTGACATTTATGTACTTTCCACTGTTTCCTACTTTCAAAGTATGAACACATTTCTATCTTTTCAAGTCATGCTAAAAATGTAATGTTTCAGAGACCAGAAACAAATGTAAATGTTCTTGAATCTAAACAGCTAATCTCAGAAGCATTTTCTGCCCCATACCCTAAATAGCTTTATTAAACCATTCCTATGAAATTCTGGTGACTGGAGACACAGAGATTGCTTCTTACCAATTGCTGGGAAGTTTTTTCTGTATGTGAACCAGAGGCGAGAAGTCACATCCAACAAAATCTCTTCTTTTTCTAAAAGATTAAAAATAACAAGTCACTATCCTCCCATGAAATGGTATTATGTTAAGAAAGCTCTTCACGATTATAGCACTTTGGTACCAAGTCAACTGCAAAGGTTCAATCCAATGGAATCCTGGGATTTGTAGCTCCATGAAATATTTAGAGTTTTCTGCCAGGGAGTTCTGGTGCTTCTCAAATCAAAAGATCCTGGGATTTGATAGGATGCAGCTGTGGCACTTAAAGTGCTATTGACGTTTAAAAAGATGTCAAACGGTACTGTTACTGAATTCAGGTGTTCCCTTAAGCTATAAACCCATTAAAATATCCAGACTTCAGACTACAAGAAACAGCAAACAAACCAAAACTATGATGGCACGTGCTTGGGATAATGCTTTTTAACATTTCAGCTTCTTTTTGACATTCTTGCACAACCTGTAACTTCTACAAATCAGAATCATGTAAAAGAACAGAGGAGGGTATGCTCTCACATTAATTCCAAAAGAATGACTGCTTTCTTGAAAAATAGTCAGCATAGCACAGGGGCATTGTTAAGGAGTGGAACTGAAAAAATAAGCTATTCAAATCAGAACAAGATCAAAACTACATACATGTATCCTGTGTTAAAGCCTACTAACAGAAAGTACCAGACAACAGGGTTCAAGGTGACAAAATGAAGCATTTAGAATACTTTAAAGTATTTCAAATACTTGCAAAATCATTACCTGTTAATACACTGTATTTTCTCCCCAAGATCCAAACTGGTTCTTTGGTCTCTGGAAAGTCTTCATACTCAAACCTGAGTGTATCATATGTGAGAGTAGCTGTTCAAAACACAATATACAAAATGTAGTCAGACACTTTTTAGCATTTGTTCTGTTCACACAGAATGTGACCCCCCCCCCCATGCATTCAGTTAATAACCTCTTACACGAGAACTTAACAACAAAACAACAACTTTTTTTTTTGCAGAAGATGCATTATTTTGGCTCTGTGTTCAGCTTTGGGCACTTCATTTTAAGAAGGAGATAGACAAGTTGGAGCAGGTTTGAAGAAGGGCAACAAGGATGGCAAGAGTTACAGAGAACAAAACATATGAGGAAATGTTGAAGGATACAGGCATATTCACCTTGGCGAAGAGGTGACATGATCACCATTTTAAAATACCTCAAGGGTTGTCACAGAGAAAAGGAGACAAGTACGGTATGTTCTCTGGTGCCCCAGAGAGTAGGACCAAGTGTAATGGTCTGAAGTTACAGGAGAGTAGATTTGGCTGGACATTAGGAGAAACTTCTTGAAAGTAAGAGTAGCTTGATAATGGACTCAAATGCCTCAAGAGATGGTGGGTTCTCCTTCTCTGAAAACTTTCAAAAAGAGGTTGGACAGCTACCTGCAGATGATGGTTTAGCTTGAGATTTTGCACTGAGCAGATGGTTGGACTTGATGGCCCATGAAGCCCCTTTCAACTCACCTTTATGATTCTATGACTATGTATTGGGACACAATGGTTTCATGGTGTTACTATTCCATTCAGCATTTAATTTCTGGTCCCTCTCTTGTAAAGTGGATTTACTCAAAGCACATGGCAACAACATGAACAGCTGCAGAAAGCATCATTTTGTTCAAGGAGCAGATGTTTTTTAGAAATCCTCTATAGGGACCAACTCACAAAGAGACACAAGACTTAAACATACTGCCGAGTTTAGCTAGCTTTGAGGGTGATGGAAAGCTGCCAACAAGTAGCATACAAAGAAAATGCCTCCATGGAGCTTCTGGTTCTATTCTGTCCTTAAGGTCAGCCACACACTGCTAAACAACATCAAACGGATTGCTCTAAATTGAGCTGGATCTTCGGTTCACTGCCTGCCAAATTAAGCACCCTCCTGGACTTCAGCCACTTTCTGTTTGTATCCAGACCATGGTTTTTCACTGTATGCTTTCAAGTGGAATCTACTGGTGTTCAACCAGTGGGTCACACCAAGGTCAACCTTGTATTTTTGTTTGTTTGTTTACCCAAAGGAGACCAGGATAAAATGCTGAGAGTGATGGAATAAGTGGAGAAATGTAGACAGCAGGGAAAACAGGACAGGGATTCCTGTTGTAAAAAATGGAGTTCACATTTATAGACCCAGGTTAATAATAGACAAGATGACAAAAAAGGCTGAAGACTATAACTTCCATGAATTAGAAAATAGAAGTAAATATGCAGTTTTGAACTCTTCCACATCTCTCTCCCCCATCTCTTTGGGGATTCAAGCCACAAGGAAAGCTAGCGCTAAATGAAAATTGCTTTTAATTGCAGAGTACAGACATAGTCTGGATCCATGTATTTGGAAATATAAGTGCAATGGAAGAGTCGTTCACATGGAATTCAAATTAATCCCGACCTCTGCAACATTTCTCAAGTATCTTCTGCTCCCTTTCCAGGGGATCATCAATGTGCCCACTTTAAAGTCAACATGGACACAAAGAACAAAATAACAATAACCCTTGCTATTCCCATCTTTGTTGCTGTGAAATAATCAAATGCTTATACGTCTCCCAAGAGCAAATTTCCCCAACAGAACCATTTTTCTCAGCACATTGACAGGTCCAGCTGTTTTGGTACCTAGCAAACTTCACTATGTTAGCTCACACATTTTCCTGACTTACAATATATTGTCACTTGACATAAAGCCATTAGACAAGTATCTCTTGCTAGGGATCCACTCTCTGCCTAAATATCACAGGTCTGGGCATGTCAGGAAAAGCAGTGGAAAACTTAACGAGAACATTAACTGTGTGGAATGTAACTTTACAACTTGATACACAGGCTAGGAAGCAACCATCAGGACTCCAAAAATCATGTCTTGCATTATTTTTACTTCATTCCCAATATATTACAGCCCTGCTTTTTAAAATATTGCCAAGCAGTCCCTACTTGTATAGACAAATGAATCACAAGAAGAAATTCTAGACAACGTATGTAACCTCCTATTATGAGTCTAAACAAGTTAAGATTAAATTAGGGTTGGGAGTAAACTTATACCTTAACATTATATCCTTCTTTCTTTAGCATCTTACATGCAAACTAAAATCAATAGATCTCCAGATCACACATCCAGTTCAAATTTCACATGCTCTGTAACCTTGCCTTCGAGGGCATCACACCTTGTGGGTTGTGTGATTCAAACTCGCATTCAATGTGACAGGCTCTGAGGAAAGATTGCTGAGTCCTTCACAGTAGAGCTACAAATACACACAAGTAAATTAGAAACATGGGGTCAGAACCATTTGTCCCCAGTGAAATTCCTTGGGCATGCCACATCTCATACATCATGTTTCACCATACAAGTTGCATTGCAAAACACCAAGGTAAACATGGAAACTAGATAGACCCTCCCTTAAGAGAAATGATGGCTAAAACACACTTAGAAGATGACTGAGAACCACTCCTGCTGTGATGCTGAACTGCAATCCCAACAAACATAGCCATTGGTTTAGGGATCATGTGAGAAGCCCCTGAAAACAGCCAAGGGGACCAATTGCTCATCTCTGCATTAGAGAAAGCAAAGGGATGGTTGCATTCAGTGTTAGACCACTGCTTCTTAAACTGTGGGTCCCAACCCCAAATAGGGTCCTCTTAACTCTATTTTTCCTGAACATCTGCTAGTGGCTATTTCAGACATTTACACAAATCTCTTGTGCAGTGTTTACAGTGGGCTCTACAAAAGATGCTTCAGATGTATTTCAGAAAAAAGAAAAATCAAGTTTTTTAGCAAGCCCTGCAATGCTAATTTGTTATCAGTAAATGTTTTATTTTTATACCTAATGTATATGCCTGCAGTTATGTAAATTTTTCTGAGGAGGAAAGGAGTCCAAAGCGGAAAAGTTTAAAAAGCAATGTGTTAGAGTAATCCAGGTTACCTGCAATTTCATTTTGAAAGACGCCAATAAACTTTCTAAACTGTATGCTAATGTTTCAGTTGCCTGAAAATAACAATACTTTGTGTGTTGAGGAAAGCAGTCTTTGAGTCATCCTGATTTCTGAAAATATTTTAATTTATTTCATGTAATTCTACCAATGATCAGAACTTTCTAAGTACATGTTTTGTTATGCATAGCCTTCCACCTTTTCTCATGTCTTGAGACATTTTCAGCTACGGACACTGCTTACGCACTTTAGGTCCTGGAACAAATGATCATTCAGTTTGCAAATGAAGCAATGAAGTTAAGGTAGCTACTTATGCAAACAAAGTTTCTCAAGGAAGGGGGAGTATGGTATACACTGCTGTTAAACAGTGTTTTTAAGAACCATCAGCTTCCTCTTATCACAGATAACAAGGATATCATTTAGCTACATACTGTCTTTGTGTTTAACATACATAGAAGCAGAGTTTAGCTAGATGTCCTGCCATTTCTTTCTTCCTAAAGAGGATACCATAGAAAACAACCAAAGTAAGATGACCTGATGTCTTGATCTGATGCTAAATGTTGTTGTTGTTTATTTGTTCAATTGTTTCCGATTCTTTGTGACCTCATGGACCAGCCCACGCCAGAACTCCCTGTCAGCTGTGGCCACTCCCAGCTCCTTCAAAGTCAAGCCAGTCTCTTCAAGGATACCTTCCATCCATCGTGGCCTTGGTCGGCCCCTCCTCCCTTTTCCTTCCACTTTCCCCAGCATCATTATTTTCTCCAAGCTTTCCTGTCTTCTCATGATGTGGCCAAAGTACTTCATCTTTGCCTCTATATCCTTCCCTCCAGTGAGCAGTTGGGCATCATTTTCTGCAGTATGGACTGGTTGGATCTTATTGCGGCACTCTCAGAATTTTCCTTCACTGTTCAAAAGTATCTATCTTCCTTAGCTCAGCCTTCCTTTTGGTTCAGCTCTTACATCCATAGGTTACTATGGGCAATACCATTGCTTGACATATTCAGATCTTCATTGCCAGTGTGATGTCTCTACTCTTCACTATTTTATCGAGATTGATCACTGCTCTTCTCCTGGCTGCAGTCTGTGTCTGCAGTAATCTTCGCTCCTAGAAATACAAAGTCTGTCACTGCCTCCAAGTTTTCTATTTGCCAGTTATCAATCAGTCTTGTTGACATAATCTTGGTTTTGTGGTGTTTAGCTGCAACCAAGCTTTTGAACTTTCTTCTTTCACCTTAGTTATAAGGCTCCTCAGCTCCTCCTCACTTTCAGCCATCAAAGTGGTATCATCTACATATCTAAGGTTATTAATGTTTCTTCCAGCAATTTTAACACATGATTTTAAACCAAGATATTTTAATGCTAAATATCTAGATTTCAAATCATTTGTTACATGCCTTTAAGCTATCTCCAACCAACACCACCACTGTCACCAAGTTTTCTTGGCAAGATTTCTTCAGAGGATGTTTGCCATTGTTTTCCTCAGAGGCTGCAAGAGACTGACGTGTCCAAGATCACCCAGTGGGTCTCCATGGCTGCACAAGGATTCAACCCCTGGTCTCCCAGAAATCCTGGTCCAATGCTCAAACCCTTACACCACACCATCAAAGCCAACCCTGCCTTATAGAAGTTAGCCTTGTATACATTGTGGTGATTGTGGCTGTGCTGTTGTTGTTGTTGTTGCTGCTGCTCTTACATATTCAACATGTTAGCACTATGAAGGAGAGCTCAAAAAGACAATGCCACTAACAGCACTCCTGAGGTTTTGCAAACTCAATAACTTCACTTCTTTGACCCAGACAATCCATGGTCTTCATATTTTCCTCTGCCTTCAACATTAACATATTTCCAATAAATCTTCTTGTCTCATCCCTTGCCCAAAATACAAAAATTCGGCTCCATTTTCTCATTATTTGCCCAAAATAGAATAACCTTTGTTTAGTTATTTTGGCTGAGAATTCAATCTTGCTTTGTGCTTTGACCCATTTATTCATTTCTGAGGATCCATGGTATCAGTATAATTCCAGGTTTCTCCTTTCTTTTTTTCCTGTCAGCATTCCTCCCTGTCAGCTTTCATAGGCACACAAAGAAATCAGAAATATTATGACATGAATGATCTTGACTTTAGTATTCAATGATATAATTTTACACTTCAAGATCTTTTATAGTTTCTTCATAACTCTCCTTTAAAGTCTCAGTCTTCTTTTTTCTTGACTACAGTATTCATTTTGATTAATTATTAGGCCAAAATATAGAAATAACACAGCTTTATTCTGTTCCCAGTCTATTGTTATGCCCATTAAAAGCCATATGGCAATAAATGCTCTACAATAAAATATATCAACCACTGAGACAATGCTGTGAAGCAGAGAGTGCTCAGGTGGCCTCAGGAATTATAGATACACAGTTCAAATTATTATCTTAAAATGGCATTATGAAGCATCCAGTTTCCTTTCTTACTTGATTAAGACATCTGAAATTCCCCATTGCAGGGTTATAGAGTCAGAAACTAATTATTTTGTTTTCTCTGTGGCTGTTTTGGAACAAGAAACATCGAACTATCTTAGTTCAACAACTGTAAAGTACAAGGGGAAGAGCTGCCACATCGACACAATAAGGATGAACAATAAGAATTGCCATTGCACTGCTACACATGGCAGATCATTAAGATACCACCGGCAAATCAATAAAAATAAATCATTTGTTCTTGTTCTACCTCTTTTTTAAAACTTAAAGTCTTAGTAACTTTAAGTTAAAAACTTAGTAACATAACAATTTTAATCATAGTCAATTATCACAGCAAGACACACCATTAGTGTTTCTGTAGGGACAAATCCAGCAAACAAAGCAACCCCTATTGCTGTCCCATCATTTCATTTCTTTTAACAACAGACAACTCATCCTTAGCAACCGATGTTAAATGGAGCATTCATCATAATGCTAGTCTCAAGAGAACTGTATGTTATGGCAATACACTGCAGATATATCCATAGTATAAGTGTTGTAAAATAAGATTAGACTGAAATCAGAAGGATTGCAAACAAACACAAAAAAACCATATTGTTAAATGCTCTTTAAAATGTCAACAAAAAGCTGAAGAGAGCAAAAAGGTGCTGAAAACAACCTTCTACAAACATTGCAAAAGTCAGAAACATTGGGCATCAACAACTGATTTAGTATTTCAAGAGACAAGATGTTAGCCCATTGGTATGGTTTGTTGTTATTTTCACAAAATTACAGAATAGCCTGCATAGCACCAAGTGGACTTAGTTAGATCAGACCATGGTTTGAGGAAAGGAGGATTTAAAATCTCTGTCCAAGCTGCTTCTTAAACGCAACTGATTGCCAAAGATATGCATAGTATTATTAATGACCTTTCAAAAGGCAATGAAATCTTGGTTTAGTGAAGATATTTTGTCTTAAATCCAACTGGTAATTCAGCACTTGTGTAAATCTAATTGATTTAAGTGCGTTTATTCTTTGTTGTTTTGTGCCTTCATGTTGTTTCCAATTATAGCAACTGTACAATTTACTGTAGCCATTACTGAGCAGCCACATATGTTGGACCATGACTGGTTCAATTGGCTTACTACACCATACTACTAAAAAAATTAAGAAAACTCTTTCAATTTAGTCAAATGAAAACAAGCCATTAGTTATCTGTGACACAGCTTGGTTCTTTTGGTAATAGTTTGGTTTTGTACAGAATTACTACTAAGCAGCACAGTCCCATAATTGTGTGTTTCTAATCCTTGTAATCTTGTACAGAAAAGTCAACAGCTTCAGACGGAAGAATACAATGTATTTCTTCACCTGGTGAACAAAAGCAGTGATAAAGAACAAGGATATGATCCTGTTCTTAGCATTATGCCTGGTCATTTTTATAGGGACTTTTCTGTATTGCGTGTGGCTGCATTGAGACTGTAGAATTAATTCAGTTTGATATTTTAACAGCCATGGCTCAAAGCTATGGAGTCATCAGAGTTGCAGTTTTACAAAGTCTTTAGCTTTCTTCGCCAAAGAACTGCAATGAGGAAAACTGAAACTCATAGGATCCAACAGCATTCAGCCATGGAAGCTAAAGCAGTGTCAAACTGCATTAATTCTACAGTGTAGATGAACCCGCTGGTACTTTTGACAGGTAAGATACAGCCGATGTTCCATATCTACGGATTCATCCATTCACAGCTTGAAAATATTCCTCTCTCACCCCATCCCATCCAAAAACCCAAAACAAATTTTGAATTTGCTATTTTATATGAGGCATCTTTTAAAAATATATATTTTATATATGCCACGGTATATATAGGACTTAGACACCCATTGATTTTGCTATTCAAAGGTAGTCTCTGAACCAAACCCCAGTGGATACCAAGGTCCCATTCTGGGAAAAGCAATTGTCAAGATATGAACACCCTATATACATATTTATACACACAAGAAAATCCCATATTTAAACCAACTCTTCTATAGAGATGTGTGTGTGTGTGTGTGTGTGTGTGTGTGTATGTATGTATATATATCCACACACACACAAGCTGTACCCGCCATGTGTTGCTGTGGCCAACCTTCACTCCTTCTTTCTCTCTTTTCTTCCTTCCCTTTTTTCTTTCTTTCTCTCCTTCCTTCCTTCTCTACTTCTTTCCTTCCTTCCCCTCCCTTTTTCTTTCTCTCCTTTCTCTAACTATTCTTGGACTGCAATTTTCAGCAGTTCTCCTGATAGATCGATCTGCCTATCTATCTATCTATCTATCTCTATGTAACCTATCTATCTTATCTATCTGGAGGATTGCTGGGAGTTGAAGTGTAGGAAAAGGAAATTGGAAATATGCACTGTATTGCCATTTAGTTTTTTTGGTTTTTAAGTCCTTTCTGTTGTTTTTTGGGGGAGGTTTATGAGTGATGATCACTCATTGGCCTGTTAAGGATGTAGTGTCCAAATTTTGTGTCAATTCGTCCAGTGGTTTTTCAGTTATGTTAATCCCACAAACTAACATTACCTTTATATATATATATGATATGAGTGTCCTACACAAGAGTTGGTTTATGTGTGTGTGTATATATACACACCATATACATACCATATATATGGTGTGTGTATACATATGTGTGTATGATTTTCATATATACACACACACACACACACACACACACACACACCATATATGGCATATATAAACTATATATCTATATCTATCCATCTATCTATCTATCTATATTTCCCAGATCTAGACAAACTTTGGTCCTCCGGGTGTTTTGAACTTCAACCCCCACAATTCCTAACAGCTGGTAGGTTTGCCCAGGACTGCTCTATTCCATATATTAAGCAACTCTTTCGTAGGACACCCACATATTTCCACTTCCAAAGCCTGAAAAAGAAACTTCCAAGAGTGTCCTCTGTTACTTCCATCCCTATGAACTTTATGCAACTCATCTGACTCACAAGGCAAGAGTTCAGGGAGGCAAGTCATGATGAGGAATCAGCAGCAGTTTAGCTTAAGCGGTATACTGTTTTGTGAGGCAAGAACGTGCGCATCCACACTGCAGAACTAATGCAGTTTGGCACCACTTGAACTGCCCTGGCTGAATGGTGTGGGATCCTGGGAGTTGCAGTTGGCCACGCTCTTGGGTAGAGAAGGAGCCACAACTGACAGGACCTCATTGCTTTGAGTCAGGCCTGTTAAAGTCATGCCAAATTGTTTCCATTCTATATCAGGTATAAGCAAACTTGGGCCTTCCTCCAGGTGTTTTGGACTTCAACTCCCACCATTCCTAACAGCCTCAGGCCCTTTCCTTTTCCCCCTCAGCCGCTTAAGAGTGAGTAGGCCGAAAGGGGCCTGAGACTGTCAGGAATGATGGGAGTTGAAGTCCACAACACCTGGAGGAAGGCCCAAGTTTGCCCATGCCTGTTCTACATTATAGACACGCCCTAAGTCAACACAGCCAGACAGCAGCATGAAAGGGGGCCAGGGAATGAGAGAGGGCCACTCTCTTGGCCCAAATGTTTCCTTTTGGCCATACTGTCTGGGGACACACAGACTTCTCAGCAGCCTCAGCAGCCTGAAAGCAACACCCCGCCAGTCCCTCCCTCCTTCCTTCCTCCAGCCCAACCCAAAGGAGACCCACCTCTGCCCCCCTCCCTCTACTCAGCCTCACCTGCGTCCATCCTGCCCCCGACTCAGGCTTCAGGGACGGCCACAGCTCTCCTCTCTCTCTACCCCTCTCCTCATAGACACTCTAGCCCACTGGCATCGACAGCACCGCTCTTAACCAATCACGACGCGCCTCACCGCCCATCCGCGTCCGCGATAGGCCGCTTTCAAAGGTTAGCAAGCTCTTCTGCACCACACTGTTTCCTCTGTTCACTCGGAGGGTGCCATTTTGTTGTACGTACAGCATAACTCTATCAAGCCTTCCCATTCCGCTCGGATTTCCCCTCCTTCAGAAGTGGAAATAAATCGTCATCGTTCCCAAGTGCGTTTCCTGAATCCCCTTGTAAATGTAGAAGCAGCAAAGAGTGAGCAAAAGGAAAAGCGCAGGGGGGCGCCATATTTTTGTACGGACTCTTAACAAGTCCCACCCGCTTCCTCCCCCCCCCCCGCCCAATATGGCGTCCTCTTACGTCAGAGCGTCAGTCTTAGTTATATATTGTATATATAATTATATAGTATTATAATATATATTTTATATATTTTTATTATATATATATATATATATATATATATATATATATATATGTATGTATGTATGTATGTATTATAAAATATAAATATATAAATAAAAATGTAATGTTCGTTTGTGGTATTCACAGAATTCAAAAACCACTGGACAAATTCACACCAAATTTGGACACAAGACACCTAACAACCCAATGTATGTCCTTCACTCAAAAAAGATGATTTTATCATTTGGGAGTTGTAGTTGCTGGGATTTATAGTTCACCTACAATCAAAGAGCATTCTGAACCCCACCAACGATGGAATTGAACCAAACTTGGCACACAGTTCTCCCATGACCAACAGAAAATACTGGAAGGGTTTGGTGGAGTGTCCTTTGGTTTTGGAGTTGTAGTTCACCTACATCCAGAGATCACTGTGGACTCAAACAATGATGGATCTGGACCAAACTCTACACGAATACTCAATATGCCCAAATGTGAACACTGGTAGAGTTTGGGGAAAATAGAATCTTGACATTCGGGAGTTGTGGTTGCTGGGATTTATAGTTCACCTACAATCACAGAGCATTCTGAATCCCACCAACGATAGAATTGGGCTAAACCTCCCACACAGAACTCCCATGTGGGCCACAGCAACACGTGGCAGGGGACGGCTAGTCTATAAATAAAAATGTAATGTTCGTTTGTGGAACTCAAAAACCACTGGACAAATTGACACCAAATTTGGACACAAGACACCTATCAGGCCAACAAGTGACCATCACTCATAAAAACACTCAAAAACGCAGCAGAAGAGACTTACAAAGCCAAAACCAAAAATTACATTACACCACATGCACAAAACCACACACACACACATATATATGCAAACACACATATACACAAATATATACACACACATATGCACACACAAAACACATATTCACAGACTGGGCCACAGCAACACGTGGCGGAGGACGGCTAGTATATTATAAAATCTTTAAACATATTTTTATTTTATTATTATATAAAATGAGTCAGTGCAATTGTAATACATTTATAACACAATAGGCATATAGTTTCCTTTAATATCTTGGCTATATTTCTGCCATTCATTTTTGTGCCTCTCTCCCCTTGAGACCAAGGTCCCATTATATTCTCTGTCCAAAATTTAATTTCCTCTTGTGGAGGTCATTCTTCATCCTTCTTTTTTAAATCCTTTTCCTATAAATTTCCCCAAAACTTCGTTTTTTCCATATTCCTCTTTAAACTCTTTTCAATAACATGTCAACTTATCATTTATTTCCAGTATAAATAAAGTTGTGAATAATTAATTGAGGAGGTTAAATTTCCCCCAAACTTCATCAAAATCATTTTTTTCCATATTCTTCTTTAAACTCTTTTAAATGACATGACAACTTATCATTTATTCCCAGTATAAATAAAGTTGTGAATGATTCGTTGAGGTTAAATTTTCCCCAAACTTCATCAAAATAATTTTTTCCATATTCCTCTTTAAACTCTTTTAAATAACATGTCAACTTATCATTTATTCCCAATATAAATAAAATTGTGAATTAGTTGAGGTTAAGTTTTCCCCAAACATCATTAAAATCATTTTTTCCATATTTCTCTTTAAACTCTTTTAAATGACATGTCAACTTATCATTTATTTCCAGTATAAATAAAGTTGCGATTGATTAGTTGAGGAGGTTAAATACAAAAGGTGTGTGTATGGGAAAGGAGAAACAATATACAAAAAGGAGGGAGAGAAGCGCAATGATGACGTCACGCACCCTTCTTGCGGTTCCGCCCATCGGAAATCTGGCTACTCTTTCCGTACGGAAGTGGCGTGGTGACGCTCTCGGGCTCCTCCATCTTGCTGTACGGAAGGAGAGAGACAGAAAAGGGAGAGGTCTGCGTGTGGATGGAGGCGCGGCGGTGACGTCACACGCCGTACGGAAGTCGCCCTTTGGGGCGTGGCGCGACAGCTGTGACTCGGCTGGCTCCTCCATGTTGCTGTACGGCGGGTGAGGGGAGTGACGCCGGGGAAAGCGGGACAGAGAAGGAAGGAGAGGCCCCGGAGATGGTCATCTGCTGCGCGGCGCTGCACTGCTCCAACCGCCAGGGCAAGGCCTCCCGGGGCCCAGCCGCCGTCTCCTTCCACAGGTAACTCGGGGAACGCCTCATGACACGGGAAGGCCCCTCCTCACGCCTCTGGCCAGACACGCGTCTTCGCTCAGGGCCTGAGACAAAAGGAGGGGCCTCTCCCAGAAAAGGGGCCTCCACAACAAGCCTTGTTTCCACAACAAGCCAAATTGTTCAAAATCCAATCCTCACAGGGACAGAATAAGAGGTGGGATCGTCTGAACAGGGCCACAGACAGCAAAATAGACACCACAAAGGTGTTCACCCTTCACTGTGCTATTCAAAGGTATATATCAGATATAGGCAAACTTGGGCCTTCCTCCAGGTGTTTTGGACTTCAACTCCCACCATTCCTGACAGCCTCAGGCCCCTTCCTTTTCCCCCTCAGCCGCTTAAGCGGCTGAGGGGGAAAAGGAAGGGGCCTGAGACTGTCAGGAATGATGGGAGTTGAAGTCCACAACACCTGGAGGAAGGCCCAAGTTTGCCCATGTCTGATATATATATATATGTGTGTGTGTGTGTGTGTGCGCGTGAGATATATATATATATTCAAGGCTGGGGTTAAAATAGCTGGAAGAAACATTAACAACCTTAGATATGCAGATGATACCACTTTGATGGCCGAAAGTGAGGAGGAGCTGAGGAGTCTTTTAATCAATGCAAAAGAAGGACATGCAAAAGCTGGGTTGCAGCTGAACATAAAAAAACCCCAAGAGTATGGCAACAAAAATGATTATTTATTTATTTACGGCATATATATGCCGCCTTTCTCACCCCGAAGGGGATTCAGAGCAGTTTACAATATATATTTTCATACAATGTATTATATTATTAGCACAGCACCACATCAGTACTATACACCACTGTATTGCACCATACCATATATACTTACCTCTCTGAACGTATCTCCTCCTATGAACCGACTAGGACACTAAGATCATCTGGGGAGGCCCTACTCTCGGTCCCTCCTGCATCACAGGCGCGCTTGGCGGGGACGAGAGACAGGGCCTTCTCAGTGGTGGCCCCTCGGCTGTGGAACGCCCTGCCTGCAGATATCAGATTGGCCCCCTCCCTGCTGGCGTCTCGGAGGAAAGTGAAGACCTGGCTGTTCAAACAAGCATTTGATTAAATAGTGTAATTGAACATAGGAATACGGAATAATGGATGATGAGACTGGATTCTGATTTTACTGTTGGGGCGCTAATGAATGTTATAATGATGTTAATGATTTATGTGATAATTGTTTTTAATTGCCCTATACTTGTTTTGTGATATTTTGTACTGATGTTGTTCACCGCTTTGAGTCGCCTGAGGGCTGAGAAAAGCGGTATAGAAATAAAGTAAATAAATAAATAAATACCATTATATTGTAATATTATTAGTAATATTACCTGTAATGTAAATATATAATTATAATTATTATAATATTGTAGTATTATTACTAGTATTGTATTGTATTACATTATAATATTATAAATATTATATGTATATACAATATACTATTATTACTAGTAAAAACAAGACAGAAGTGTCTTCTGCTCCCCTCTGACTTCACTCTGGCCAGAGCAGCTGTTGGTGCCACGGGAGGAGGGGCCTCCCAACTGATGATATAGACAGAAGACAAGATGGCAAATAGATAACTGGCAAATAGAGGGAGAAAACATGGAGGCAGTGACAGACTTTGTATTTCTAGGTGCAAAGATTACTGTAGACGCAGACTGCAGCCAGGAAATCAAAACACGTTTACTTCTTGGGAGGAGAGCAATAACCAATCTCAATAAAATAGTGAAGTAGAGGCATCACACTGGCAATGAAGATCCGGTAGTAACCTAGGGATGTGAGAGCTGGACCTTAGGGAAGGCTGAGCGAAGGAAGACAGATGCGTTTGAACTGTGGTGTTGGAGGAAAGTTCTGAGAGTGCCTTGGATCGCGAGAAGATCCAACCAGTCCATACTTGAGGAAATAAATCCCGACTGCTCATTGGAGGGAAGGATAGTAGAGGCAAAGATGAAGTACTTTGGTCACATCATGAGAAGACAGGAAAGCTTAGAGAAGACAATTATGCTGGGGGAAATGGAAGGAAAAATGGAAGAGGGGCCAACCAAGGGCAAGGTGGATGGATGGTATCCTTGAAGTGGCTGGCTTGACTCTGAAGGAGCTGGGGGAGGTGACAGCCAACAGGGCACTCTGGCGTGGGCTGGTCCATGAGGTCATGAAGAGTCGGAAGCAACTGAACGAATAAACAACAAATATATGTGTGTGTCTGTATATATTGTTGGAGTTACACTTGAAAAATATACCTGTTCTGACTTACAAGCAAATCAACTTAAGCTCAAACCTACAGGACCTGTCTTGTTCCCAACATGGGGGCTGCCTTTATTCCCAAATCGAAAAGACTTCTGTTCTCAAGTTTTTGTCTGCATTTCCTTCCTGAGGGCGAGTATCTCTTGCTAGTCTAGGCAGGTTCTGGGGCGTAAAAGCAAGCTTTGCCTTCAGGGGCGAGATACGGGTTTGTAAATAAGTAATAATTGGAAGAGATCACAAGGGCCATCCTGGTAGAGAAGGCCATTTGTGTTCAAGTGCCAAGCATACTTGTGGGTGGACAACATGTTGGAGCCTTTCCTGCAGGAAAATACCTGATGGGTGTTGTTTTTTTCCTGCTTAGTAAAAAAGAATTGTAGTTGGAAAACTAGGGGCCCTTCCAGACAGGCCCTATATCCCAGGATCTGATTCCAGGTTTTCTGTTTATCCCAGATTATTTGGCAGTGCGGACTCATATAATCCAGTTTAAATCAGAAGACCTGAGATCAGATCCTGGCATACAGGGTCTGTCTGGAAGGGCCCTTGATCCTGATAAGGTAGGTGAGGAATCATTATAGTGGATTTTATTTTTTATTTATTTATTTACAGTATTTATATTCTGCCCATCTCACCCCAAAGGGGACTCAGGACAAATCACAGAACACGTATATGGCAGACATTCAGTTCCAATTATACAATGGCAAGACAGACAACACATAGAGGTATATAGGCGTTCCCATCTTTTGGCATCTTGGAGTCTATGCTCAGTTTCAGCCACAGGGGATGCTGTTGCTCCATCTCCCTGCCAAAGAGTTTTCTTTGTTCATAAACTTCCTCCTTTTTCTGATCAAACCACAGTGCCTAAATACCTCCCCACTTTAACGAGGTATCTATTTATCTACTCGCATTTATTTTCGAACTGCTAGGTAGACAGAAGCTGGGCTAAAGGTCAGGAGCTCACCCTGACCCAGGCTTTGAACTATCAACCTTCCAGTTGGCAAGATATATTGCAGCTGGTGATTAACCTGCTGTGCTAAAGTCAAGCCTTGCAATTCCCAAAACAAGTAGAAGGAATTGCTTTACACTTATGATTCATTGTTTAAAAGGGAATAACCTTGTTGACAAGTGTTCTGTCTAATGTTAGGATGTGCTGAATTGTACAGTTAGAAAGCAAAGATTGTTAAATGGTGAGAATATGCAAAGCTTTTTCTTGTGTGCCTTCATGTTGTTTCCGAAACCAAATTGAGGAAATAAAAGACTGTTGTGTGAACTTTACATAAAACCTGCAGATTTTATTGCCAAATGAGAAAGCAACATCTCCTTAGTAATCCAATATTCTGGCCCATAGGATTTCAGTCTGTTAGGTGTTTAAAAAAATTACAGGGTGATGCCCATGTCATGTTTGTTCTTTGTCCTTCTGACTCAGGAGCTATGTTCCCTCTGAAAGTAAACTTATGTGGGTTTACTGCGGGCAGTTGCTTTTAAGAAACCTGTCTTTCCATGGGGATTTTCCCTCCGGCATTATAGCATCCAGAAAGCCCTGTTTAAGGGCACCTTACAATTGCTATAAGTCAGAAACACAAAACACCAATAGTATGAGTTCTAAGACCGCCTGCTCACATACAATACTTCTTGTTTAGAAACCCGTAGCTATAAAAGTCTAATTAATGTATTCTGAATAATTTTATCTTTGGAAGCTATCCATATTATTTAAAGACCATTCTGTATCTGTGTTATATTGCAGTCTATACATTAAACCTGTTTTAATAAGTTTAGCAGGGTTAACATCACCACTTGCCAAACTTTCGTAGTAACTGAGATGCTGCATTGTGTTGCTTCCTCAGCTGGGATGGATGATGCCTTAAAACAGTGGTTCTCAACCACTGTTTAGGTTGAGAACCACTGCCTTAAAACAAGTGTCGGAACAGATGTTTGATTCAAACATTGCATTATATCATCTGCAATTTGGTCTTAATTATAATTTAAAACTCAGGTATGACATATCTAAAAATCTTCAAAAATATAGGGAATTTATGGTTTAGGACTGCTTGTCTGCTTTGTTTTATATCTATTCAACATTTCCATGATGGAGGTGGTACTGGATCAATAGTCATGACTGTATTTCGTTACCTGTTTGCATGGTGAATAGTTAAACTCTAGAATTCACTGCTTTAAGTTGAAGTGATGGCTGCTACCCTGGACTGCTACAGAAGCAAATTATAACAAATTAATGATATATATGGTTATTAAAAGTAGACAAGGAAGCTATATATCACTGTTGCCTCATCCAGTATTAGAAGCTGTGTGCTTTCGTAAAGCAATTGATGGGAAGCACATTCTTACTGGGGACTGAACACAATGTAAACGTGTGAAGGATTGCACTGTAACTATTAGTCTGGAATTAGGTGTTTCATCCGTGTAGAAACAATGAAATATTTTGTTACATTGACAGTTTCTGTATCCTGGTCAAAGCTTCAATTGTAAATGAAAAACCACTATTAGCTGGAAATGAATGAAGAAGGGAAATGTGGCCAGCTAATACCGGGTGAGGCAGCATAACTTCCTTTTTTCAAAACTGAATAAAACCCATTGTATGTATCAGAAATTTTTTATAATGTAGGCGGATACCTAAAGTTTTGTTTTACATAGTTTTGAAGATCAAATTAGGTAGGTGACGTCCCCCGTTCTCCATACACTGAGTAAACCGATTTCTGGTGTTTGTCATGACTCTTGCCAGCATAGCAGGCATTATGTTGGCAATTTCTTCCTGGATGTTGGTCTTCAAATCTTGTAGGGTCCTTGGATGGTTCACATAAACACGGGATTTCAAAAAAACCCATGGAAAAAAATCACAAGGGGCCAAATCTGGAGAGCGGGCCGGCCACTCCAAATCCGCTGGAAAAGTAGGCCTCAATGACAAAAGCACACTCCTCACTGTTCCAACGCATGATGGCAACTGAACTGTGTCAGGACAAAACTTTATTCTCCCACCTCTCAAACGAGACCACTAGCACTCCGTTACGTCTTCAACCGACTGAATGGCACACATTTTTAAAAAGGAAGTTATGCTGCCTCACAGGTATCAGGATGTCATACTGTAGGCAGACTTATTTGTTTGTGGCATTGTATTGGCCTGCTAGATCCCGGTACATGATACAGATACAATATTTTTTTAAAGTATCTAAATAACAGGATATGTTTGGAGGTAGATATGGATATCTAACTTCCAGTTATAGTTCTCTGTTTGGACAGGCAGATATTTCTGATTGATGAAAATGAGCTGCAGTTTGGTTAATTGCTAGTCCATTATGCCTTAAGATCTGCGAGATCTAGATAATAGTGACCTTTACTATGTAAAATTCAGTGTGAGATTACCAGGATTTTCTTCTTGTTGGTACCTTTAGTGAAGACATGGGCAAACTTCAGGCCCTCCAAGTGTTTTGGACTCCAACTCCCATAATTCCCAACAGCCGGTAGACTGTTAGGAATTGGGAGAGTTGAAGTCCAAAACATCTGGAGGGCCGAAGTTTGCCCAAGTCTGCTTTAGTGTATAACTTGGTTCTTCGTAAGTGAAGTCCATCGAATTTTGAAGCTTATTATTTAAAATCACTAGGTTGGGTTATAAATATGGTTTGCAAATGGTAATATCAATTATCATTAATTTTGTTAAAATTCTACGTCCCTGTGTGGGGTACATTCCACCACACACAAATATATGAAACTGTGGATAATTGTGAGCCCTATCTTTTGACAATATTTGGACCAGAAAATGTATTGCATTGGAGGATCTAGAGAGGCCCACAAACACTTCCAAGGAGCATTTATTTTGTAGGCATATACACAAATATTGAATCCATGAATAAGGAATCTAAACTTTCTAACTGAATGGTTGGTGGTTCTAATCTGGGGAGCAGGGTGAGCTCCCACTGTTAGCCCCAGCTTCTGCCTCACTAGCAGTTCGAAAACATGCAAATTTGAGTAGATCAATAGGTACTGCTTCTGTGGGAAGGTAGTGGCATTCCATGCAGTCATGGTGGCCACATGACCTTGGAGGTGTCTACAGGCAATGCCGGCTCTTCGGCTTAGAAATGGAGATGAGCACAACCCCCCAGAGTCAGACACAACTACACTTAATGTCAGAGGAAATCTTTACCTTTACTGTATGTATGTGTTTATTTATGTGTGTTTCTGTATCAAATAATAATTTGCAAAAGCCTTTGAAAGCTAGTTTAAAAATCTGTATTTAAAAGGAATGAGTAGATTAAAATGCAGTCAAAACCGTCCAACATCTTAAGGAATTTTGTACCTGGAAGATGCACTATAATTCTAAAAAATGAGCAATAGTACATAAGTGTGTCTTGTAGAAATTTATGTTTTCTTACCTTCATGCTATTATGTTTCCAAGAAAAGAAGTCACACATAGTAACTCTTATCTTCCATATTGTTTTCAAGGTTTCCATTAAAGGACTCAAAGCGACTGATCCAATGGTTGAAAGCCGTTCAGAGGGACAGCTGGACTCCCACCAAATACTCCTTTCTCTGCAGTGAGCATTTCACTAAGGACAGCTTCTCAAAACGGCTGGAGGACCAGCATCGACTGTTGAAACCCACAGCCGTGCCAACTATTTTTCAGCTTTCAGAGAAAAGGGGAGATAGTAGGGATTTTGTCAAAAGGAGAAGAAAGATAGTAAACCATACTTTGCAAGGAGATGGCCATCAAGCAAAGGAAGGAGGCTGTGAGGTAGTTGAGGGAATCTTATCATCTGGCCAGGGCTTGATAGTGGAAGGGACTGAAGCAATGGAACAAGTCACACTTCAAGCTGAAATTGGATCCATGTCTGAACAGGGAGAAACCTTCCAGGTCCAGCTTGAAGGTTCTCTTAGAAGAATGTTGGCAGATAATTTAGTCACAAAAGTGACGCAAAATAAGCCAGAAAAACTTTCCGTAGGTGAGTGTTCTGAAACGGTTATCAACCCTGGGAGTTTGAAAATGGACAAAAGTGGGGTATCGGAGGACGACTTCACACCATCGGTTTCAGGTGCATGCAAATTTATTGGCTCCCTTCACTCTTACAGCTTTTTCTCCAAACACACCAGAGAGAGGTCATCTCTGCCAAAGGAGCAAGTAGAAAGGAAACGGTTGAGGAGGAGCATGGAGCCACGCTGTAGTACCAACACTGTGGAGCAGGACACTAATTTAACTGAAGCCACTTCTACTTCCTCTCTGACGGCTATTCCCCAGAAACCTTCCCAAAGCATTTCTGCATCCCCGGCCGATCTGACCCCTAAACCGGCGGCAGAAGCCGTGGTCGGCGAAAAGGGAGAGACTGATGCCAACCCCATGTCCATCAACGAGGTCATCATGTCTGCCTCAGGAGCCTGCAAGCTCATTGACTCCCTCCATTCGTACTGTTTCTCCTCCAGGCAGAGCAAAAGCCAAGTGTGCTGCTTGAGGGAGCAAGTGGAGAAGAAGAATGGGGAGCTGAAGCAGTTGAGGCAGAAGATCAGCCGCTCCGACAGCCAAGTTCGCAAACTGAAGGAAAAACTAGATGAACTGAAGAGGATCAGTTTCCCATTCCTGAACAACTTGTTATCCCAGGACTGTGGTCAGTATCTTCTGCACTCTCACAGCTGAGGCAAACGGAGGTCAAAATATGAAATTGTCTAGAGCAGGGCTTCTTAAACTTTTCCCACTCATGACCTCTTTCTGCCCAAGAGATTTTTACACAGCCCCAAGTATATATAAAACAGGTAGAAAAATCAAACATTTACTGATTAAAAATCAGTGTTTGCAAGGCTTGCTAAATAGGCTGATTTTCCTTTTTGTGGAGTACAGCTGAAGCATTTATTGCCGAATCCACTATATTGCTAACAGATTTATGTTAATGAGTAGTTTTTCAGGTTTTTTTTCCTGTTGCCAAATTTTTGTATCCCCAACATTGAGCTAAAGGGACATCATTTGGGGTCATTACCCACAGTTTAAGAAGCAGTGCTTTAGAAACATATTGTTTCTAGGTACTTTTTCAAGGTAGTTTAGCTGTTGCTTTCATATTTACAATATCTTATTCAACTGGGCCCCCTGGTGGCACAGCAAGTTAAACTGCTGAGCTATAGAACTGGTGACAGAAAGGTTGGCAGTTCAAATCCAGAGAGTGGGGGGAGCCCCCGCTGTTAGACCCAGCTTCTGCTAACCTAGCAGTTTGAAAACAAACAAATGTAAGTAGATCAATAGGTACTGCTTCTGCGCGAAGGTAATGGCACTCGATGCAGTCATGCTGCTTACATGACCTTGGAGTTGTCTAAAGACAATGTTAGCTCATCAGCTTAGAAGTGGAGATGAGCACCACCCCCCAGAGTCAGACACAACTAGACTTAATGTCAAGGGGAAACGTTTACCTTTTATTCAGGTATAGAAAAGTCAGTATAGTGTAGTGGTTGAAAATGCTTAGAAATTAAGCTTATCTGTCATATCATTGCCTATATATGATTATTCATCCCATTTTCTTGGGGTGCATAACAAGTTATATTTTCCACCAGATTAGATCATGCAGTACATATAGAAAAGACATAATACATTAAACCACCAGTGGATTACAAAACCATTGCTGGGGCCTAGGCTATTGCAAAAAATGTTCCCACTGATTGATGTAACAGTTGAATAAGACACAGCTTTAACTATGTTCTATGAGTGAAACAAAAAAATCAGGAGGCAGGTTTTCATCCACACCATGTCACATCTTGGTGAATGCGTATAAGAATGACAAGGGGAAAGATCTATTAGGTATCATAAGGTGTACACATAACGTAATTTACTTTGCCCCTATCTTATATTGTGCACTCATTTACTGTTATTGCTACGTTTCATTAAGTGCTATCCTTCATCTGGAGACTTTTAGGCATTTTCTTAGCAAGATTTGTTCATTGAAAGCTTGCTTCTGCCTTCCTGTGAGGCTTAAAGAATGCAACTTGCCTGAAGTCACCCATTGGGTTGCCAAGGCCAAGCAGGCATTTGGACCCTGGTCTCCCAGAGCTCTAGTCTAACTCTCAAACCATTGCACTATGCTGTCTCTCAGTGGAATCAATGTCTGATTTTATGGACCAGCTATTGCACTCTGTTCAATAAAAGATGCCTTGCTTTTGCTCATTATGATTCTAATCAAGGCCCCCAGCTCCACTGGCCATTTAATGCAGTTGCAAAACTATTTTTAAAAGGAATTTCACTGTACAGATGATTACATAGGAAATCTTGAAACCAGATGGTAGTTACACAAACCACAGAGCACTGATGCTTTCTTTTGCATACGTTTGTGGAAGTTTGTTGTCTGGCTGCCACAGTTTGAAACTGGCTTCTAGCTCAAGCATGGGAAAACTTTGGTCCTCCGGGTGTTTTGGACTTCAACTCCCACAATTCCTAACAGCTGATAAGTTGGCTACAGTTTCTGGGGGTTAAAGTCCAAAACACCAGGAGAGCCGAAATTTGCACATGCCTGTTCTAACTGCATTAAATGGACAGTATAGATGGGGTGCAAGTGTGCACTAGAATATAAAGCCTTTTTTATTGTGGTGCCGATCTTACATCTTTTTGTGAGAGCCACCCCATAAATCCTCAGGGACGCCTTCTTAGCCACATGTATCCAATGTTCTTGTTTTTTTGTTTATTTTTTTAAATGATGTTTCCTTTTCTGCTCTATTGTTGTTTTCTTGTCTGGTTGCAACTGTTTTGCAGACATTTTAAGATGTGTTTAACTGTTTGTTATTGGTAATTTCTCATTGTGTGTTTATTTTGTTTTGTTTTTGAAATGGAGAGGTCTTTAAAATTTAATGTATTTGATTAGCCAGGCAAATGTAGACTGTGACTAAAAGCTAGAGCTTGAAATTGAATTTGACTTTTTTCCAAATAAAATAGGCTCAAACAGTAATAACATTTTGGGTTTACTGGCTGGAAATTGTCTGTTTGCAATATTATTGACAAGAAGCTCTCCACCTCTGTAGTTGTCAATGAAAGGAGCAAAGGCTAGCTAGCCTGAGTTTCCTAGTAAACTATACTGACTGTAAACAGTGACTTTCTATTTTTTCTGCCATTGCCTCTGCCTTGTATTTCAAGACTTGTTATATAGAGCCTGAAACTGCAAGTTTCTCATTTATTGTGCTTGTGAATATGTATCCTTGGTCTGTGAGAGCCAATGGGAGAAAAGGGTTAAGTCACACACTTGTGTGTCATTGAGCTTGCTTAAACTAAACTTCAAGTCCCAGAAAACACTGGGGTGACCTCTGTACAGTCTCAGGTTACTTCCTGTCTTGTCCTGCTGAGCTGTGCACAGCGTTTCTTGGAGACTAGGGAAAGAGTTAGGGATTCAAGATTGAACAAGCTAAAAATAGTTGAGCAAGATATGGCCAGCAATGAAAGAAATACAGGTACAGTCTAATGTGATTAATATTTTAATGAAAGTACCGTACTAAGATAGTCTGAAAAGGGAGTGTTAGGTTTCATCTGAGCTACTCTTTTGTGCTTATTGAATGATTCAATCTTCTGTCATTAAAAAGATGTTGTTTCAATCCACGTTCTTTAATGTGCCCTTGGTAGCTTTCATTAGTGTCCAGTTTGCTCCCAAGTTTGTATCCAAAACTGGACATGTTCTCTCAATCTTCACCAATGATTGATTTAGATTATGCAGTAGCCTTTCACGATTCATTGGTTTCTTATTGGAGGTGGCAGGGTGAGATTTTACTATCTTCTATTTTCAATCATCTTATGCTCTCCCAATGTTTTTTCTTTTTCTTCAGTCAAAATCTTGGAATTACTGGTATTGAACAGACCAGTAATTCCACCATTTTAAAGTATTGAGTGTTCAGTAAGTTTGTTTGCAGATACGACACTCATTTGGTGTGTGAAGTTGATGACTCAAATTCATTATAGCCATAATGTACTCTAGTTGTGTTAATTTTTAACTGTATCCGTGTGTGCTCTTCTGTATACAATCTTTTCCCAAAAGGCATTAAATCAAGATTGCATAAGGCTTTAGAAAACACTAGGAGAAATCAAGGGTATTGGCAAAAACCATAACATCTTAGTCTTGTCAGAACAAAATTATACATTAAACATTTTATTAAAATATTCAATTAAAACCAACTAATAAGTAGTACCTGAGCTGTATCAATAATGCAATATGGAAGGTTTGGAGTTGGGCAAAACGACATTTGGTATGTGCTGGGGAAAGGGGCTAAAAAGAAGATGTACCTTAAACTCTCCCCTGTTTCCTCTCTTTTTGCATTCAAAGGGGTCTAGTAGTTAGTGGGAGACAGCATGGTTCAGTGAATTGACTGTTGGATTATAATTCTAAAGACCAGGATTCAATTCCCAATTCGGCCATGAAACCTACCGGGTGACCTTGAACTAGTCACATCTTCTTAGCCTCAAGGAAAAGCAAAGACAAACCCATTCTGAACAAATATTGCCAAGAAAATCCTGTGATAAGGCCACCTTAGAGGGTCACCATTGACACACAACACATGCTCATTTATTAAGCATTAGGCAGTAAGTTTTTTGTATATTTCATGTAATTGTACAACTGTCTCTGACCAGCAAGTGCTTAGTTCAGAATTGTCAAGAAGGATGCAATCTCGCTTTGCTTCTCAAATTGCTTGATGGAGGTTGTCATAATCTAGGTTTAAAGAATGATATTATGATGAAAACTTTGTGAGTTTATTCCAGTCAAATAGTGAAAGGTAGTGAACCTGTGGCCCGAAAGTTGTAATTGGGCCAAATAAGATGTCCAGTGACCAGAGGTGAACGAAGTTGCATTCCAACATCTGAAAGGTTTCAAGTTTCCCCGTCTTCTAGGATGTTCTAGTAGTGGCTACTCAGTCTTATTTTTTTCGTGTGCATATATTGAGACAAAATATATATTATCATGTGTAGAGCTTCTATTCAGGGCTTTGTTTACCTCCCYCCCCCCCCCCCCCTTTTAGGGATTTCTTTATTTTTTGGTTTTAGGATGATCACTACATTCAACACCCATTTGCCTGGCTCTACAGCAGGCATGGGTAAACTTCAGCCCTCCAGGTGTTTTGGACTTCAACTCCCCCAATTCCTAACAGTCTACCAGCTGTTAAGAATTGTGGGAGTTGAACTCCAAAACACCTGGAGGGCCTAAGTTTTCCCATGCCTGCTCTACAGTATTAAAATCTTTGGTTTTTCTGTTGATATATCTGGGATGTTCTCAGTTCTATTGCTAATTCTTTCAGTCTGAATTTTTAAAATCTCATTCAGATAAGGGTTATATCTTTCCTTAATTTTTTGTGACTTTTCCTCCCTTGTCCATGCCATATAATCTTACCTCCATCCTAGCTGTCATTTTCCCAATTTGTCAGTTTTTGGAGCCATTGTGTTATAATTAGATTCTTCAGACCTTTTACTATATTAGAGTTTGTTTCTCAAACTAATTCTTAGAATTGCATGGATCTTCTGCTGTTTCCATCTTGTGCATGCATGATGAGGTTTCAAGGCTAGACAAACTGGATTTCCAGCGAAGTGTTTTGTATCCAATCATCATTGGGTTGTATTGTTTGTTTGTTTTTTGTTCTCAGCATGTTTCTTTTGTTTTAT